GGCGGTTCCCGAGAACCACATATCAGATTTTTAACAGGATCGTTAGCATTTGAGTTTTCCCGAGTATTTTCTGTGCTCACCTAGCTCAAATTCTAGACGTCGGATTAAAACAAGACTATAGCGTCCATAAAATGACCATTGGACTTAGAAAATGTCTGATTGACTAAGTTTGTAGGCGCAACAGTTTATCATTTATCGCTATCACGCGCTCATTTCTGTCCATTAAGAACCAACGATGTGCTACCTTTTTGTAGCATTTCTGACAATGCTAACATATTGTCAGCTGAATCTCAGCTACAAGCAAAGGAAGCTAGCTAGCTAGGTATATTTTGCTATGGAAGGTTTTTCATATGGCTGGTCATCTTTGTAAACTAAATCAGAGCACAAACGAATAAGCTAGGAGAATAACATAGCTGTATAGATCGTGCACCACATCTCAATGTTGACAAATTGTCAATAATAGCCTAGCTGGCTACATTCCTCAATAAAGCATAGCTAGCTAGCTAAGTAAAGTTCATAATACATGCAATGGGCATTGTTTATCTACCTACTCAGGCATGATACAGTCAAACTGGCTAGATACAGTGGGGGAAAAAAGTATTTAGTCAGCCACCAATTGTGCAAGTTCTCCCACTTAAAAAGATGAGAGAGGCCTGTAATTTCCATCATAGGTACACGTCAACTATGACAGACAAAATAAGGAAAAGAAATCCAGGAAATCACATTGTAGGATTTTTGATGAATTTATTTGCAAATTATGGTGGAAAATAAGTATTTGGTCAATAACAAAAGTTTCTCAATACTTTGTTATGTACCCTTTGTTGGCAATGACACAGGTCAAACGTTTTCTGTAAGTCTTCACAAGGTTTTCACACACTGTTGCTGGTATTTTGGCCCATTCCTCCATGCAGATCTCCTCTAGAGCAGTGATAATAATAATAATAATAATAATAATAATAATAATATGCCATTTAGCAGACGCTTTTATCCAAAGCGACTTACAGTCATGTGCGCATATTTTTTTTAAACATATGGGTGGTCCCTGGGATCGAACCCACTACCCTGGCGTTACAAGCGCCGTGCTCTACCAATTGAGCTACAGAGGACCACAATGTGATGTTTTGGGGCTGTCGCTGGGTAACACAGACTTTCAACTCCCTCCAAAGATTTTCTATGGGGTTGAGATCTGGAGACTGGCTAGGCCACTCCATGACCTTGAAATGCTTCTTACGAAGCCACTCCTTCGTTGCCCGGGCGGTGTGTTTGGGATCATTGTCATGCTGAAAGACCCAGCCACGTTTCATCTTCAATGCCCTTGCTGATGGAAGGAGATTTTCACTCAAAATCTCACGATACATGGCCCCATTCATTCTTTCCTTTACACAGATCAGTCGTCCTGGTCCCTTTGCAGAAAAACAGCCCCAAAGCATGATGTTTCCACCCCCATGCTTCACAGTAGGTATGGTGTTCTTTAGATGCAACTCAGCATTCTTTGTCCTCCAAACACGACGAGTTGAGTTTTTACCAAAAAGTTATATTTTGGTTTCATCTGACCATATGACATTCTCCCAATCCTCTTCTGGATCATCCAAATGCACTCTAGCAAACTTCAGACGGGCCTGGACATGTACTGGCTTAAGCAGGGGGACACGTCTGGCACTGCAGGATTTGAGTCCCTGGCGGCGTAGTGTGTTACTGATGGTAGGCTTTGTTACTTTGGTCCCAGCTCTCTGCAGGTCATTCACTAGGTCCCCCCGTGTGGTTCTGGGATTTTTGCTCACCATTCTTGTGATCATTTTGACCCCACGGGGTGAGATCTTGCGTGGAGCCCCAGATCGAGGGAGATTATCAGTGGTCTTGTATGTCTTCCATTTCCTAATAATTGCTCCCACAGTTGATTTCTTCAAACCAAGCTGCTTACCTATTGCAGATTCAGTCTTCCCAGCCTGGTGCAGGTCTACAATTTTGTTTCTGGTGTCCTTTGACAGCTCTTTGGTCTTGGCCATAGTGGAGTTTGGAGTGTGACTGTTTGAGGTTGTGGACAGGTGTCTTTTATACTGATAACAAGTTCAAACAGGTGCCATTAATACAGGTAACGAGTGGAGGACAGAGGTGCCTCTTAAAGAAGAAGTTACAGGTCTGTGAGAGCCAGAAATCTTGCTTGTTTGTAGGTGACCAAATACTTATTTTCCACCATAATTTGCAAATAAATTCATTAAAAATCCTACAATGTGATTTTCTGGATTTTTTTTCTGAATTTGTCTGTCATAGTTGACGTGTACCTATGATGAAAATTACAGGCCTCTCTCATATTTTTAAGTGGGAGCACTTGCACAATTGGTGGCTGACTAAATACTTTTTTCCCCCACTGTAGATAGCTACGTGTGCAGCCAGATGTCAGCTTCAGAACAAACACTGCTAGCGAGCCTACATTTCCTCAACCAAGACCAGCCTTTTACAACACAAACTGTAGCTGCTAAGAAACAGCTACGTAGAATCTAAATCTGGCCAATGCACATCGGCTGTGCATTGCAGTGAGTGTACACATGCTAGCTAGCTAATTATCTAGAGTGTGCAAAGCTGTCATCAAGGCAAAGGGTGGCTATTTGAATAATCTCAAATATAAAATATATTTTGATTTGTTTAACACTTTTTTGGTCACTACATGATTCCATATGTGTTATTTCATAGTTTTGATGTCTTCACTATTATTCTACAATGTAGAAAATAGTAAACATATAGAAAAGCCCTTGAATGAGTAGGTGTGTCCAAACTTTTGACTGTTAGTGTGTATATATATATATATATATTTTTTTAAATCAATTTACATGAACCAATCTTGATCTGTTCTATATTAATTGCTGACCAAAATAAAGGTTCTGAAACTAAATCCAAGTCTTCAGTTTATGTTGGTTACAATACAATGGTATAGGTTCCAAACATTATATTAAAACATCAATCAATCAAAGCAATCAATGTTATCTTTGTGAAAATATCTGATATAGTTCTATGTTTGAATTGTGTTATATAAATAAACTTGCTTGCTATGTTCATTTCGAAACAGTCCATATAGGCTTAAAAAGATTAGCGATCCTGAGAGGCTGCTTGGCTCCAAATTACTGCACATATTTGCTGCCGTGCCATATTACACAACTAGAGGCTGCTGTTGCCTAAGAGTAGGCAATGCATTTCAGTTGCATGAGTTTACGCATCAACCACACTTGGCCCATGTAGCTAAAATGTTGTGTTTTTCTCCTGTACAACTAACACCCATGAAGACACATTAGGATAGGACTACACAGTTGTTTGAAATACATAATGTGTACAAAAGTCATATTGTGTGAGTATTAAAATGACCGCTCCTCACTAAACACTCTCCCTCTCGTTCTCTCAGATACAGTAACACAGAGACAAAGGAAACCTCCATTTTCTACAGTCAACAACACCAGACATGCTTGGCATCTCAGTCCACACTCCCCTTGTCACCCTGTCCCCTTACAGTACACATTCCCCATCTCTACATGCCTCTCCTCCTCATATCCCTCCACAAGAGCCGGTGGTGTGGGGGTGTCTAAATAGGAATTAGCACTGCTTGTCACTGAATACAGAGGGAGAGATCATGTAGCAGACTTTTATTTATAACTCACTTCTCCCCTTTCAATTTGTAAAGTTATCTCACAGGCACACAGACACACTTGCAAGTTAACAAATTCACAGAGCACAAACAAATGAAAATGCTTTCATCATGGTAAAACTATCTGTCGGTTATCATTGAGTGAAGACTGATATCCCCCAGGGCAGGCCAACTGACCTATGTACTGTAAGTCTAGTGAAACCAAACCAGAAGCATCACCCTCACCTCTCGCCCCTGTCACCGTGTGACCTAGTGCCACATTCTAGCCCCGGGCAGTAAACTAGACCAGCACCCCTCCCACACATGTCCCCCATCATCCTTAATCTATTATTTTTCACCAGGATCGGAGCCCATCTAAACTAAATATGGGGAAAGTGTTCCAGATCTCCAGGACTATCCATGACCATCCCCCTGCCCATCATTCCTAGTCTCTCTTCATTTGTCCCTCTATTTAGTGGGCTGTCAATCGATCTCTTGTTCTTTCTCTTTCAAACTCTCCGCCTCTGTCACCCACTGTCCTCTTCTTCACTGAAGGAGAGGTGGGGGCAGTCTGTTATTCCTCTCTTACTCCGCCTTCTTTTAACCCAACACACAAACACGCAGATGCAGACACACCCATGAAAACTAGCGCACACACACACACGCACGCACATGCACACAGGATCTGTGTCCTACTCTCGTCAGCCCTGTCACCTCGACAGCCGCTCTACTCCCCTCCCACCTTCTTTGCCACATTCAGTCACACACACACACACACACACGCACACACACACACACACACACACACACACACACAGGCGCGGTCTGGGACCAGACTTCGGCCCTGGCATTTCTAACACACCAGCACATTATTTTCCCTTGAGGCACTCATGAGCCATATAATGATCATTTTGCGCAACAACAAAAAACAAACAAGTTAAACAGGCCCACTGAGCTAAAAATGGACCAGCCCGAAATGCCAGATGGCCAGTCCGCCTCTGCACACACACACACACACACACACACACACACACACACACACACACACACACACACACACACACACACACACACACACACACACACACACACACACACACACACACACACACACACACACACACACACACACACTCACACACACACTCACACACACACACACACACACACACACCTACATCCATAATTGAACCCACCCCCTCTCGCTCTCTCTGCGCTGTTTCCAGCTCCCCATGTGAGGGGGTTTAATAAGGGGGTCTCAGGAGTTGGTCTTGCTCTGTTCTGGGTGGTGGGGATCGGAAGTCCTTCCTCATTTTCATCAAATTATTTTTATGTTTATTTTTTTACTCACTGAAACTACAATTAATTTCCAAATAAGTAAGGAAACATGAATTGGAGCTGGGTGCTTATGGCAGTCCTTCTGTCTTGCGGGGGACTGTCATGGGGTGAGGAGGGTTTGGACTTCCCTGAGTACGATGGCATGGACCGGGTCATCGAGCTGACTACCAAGAACTACAAGTCTGTGATGAAGACGCATGATGTGATGGTTCTGTACTACCATGAGCATCCTGGAGCCGACGCCATTGCCCAGAAACAGTTTGAAATCGAGGAACTGGCCCTGGAGGTGGGTCACGGGGCAAGGAGGACTTGGTCAGGGGACTAGGAGGACTGGGTCAGGGGACTGGGAGGACTGGGTCAGGGAACTGAGAGGACTGGGTCAGGGGACTGGGAGGACTGGGTCAGGGGGGTGGGAGGACTGGGTCAGGGAACTGAGAGGACTGGGTCAGGGGACTGAGAGGACTGGATCAGGGGACTGAGAGGACTGGGTCAGGGGACTGGGAGGACCAGTGGAGGCTGCTGAGGGGAGAACGGCTCATAATAATGGCTGGAACGGAGTGAATGGAATGGCATCAAACCATGTGTTTGATTATTTGATACCATTCCACTGATTCTGCTCCAGCCATTAACACGAGCCCGTCCTCCCCAATTAAGGTGCCACCAACCTCCTGTGGGGAGGACTGAGTCAGGGGACTGAGAGGACTGGGTCAGGGGACTGAGAGGACTGGGTCAGGGGACTGGAAAGACTCGGGCAACTGGGTGGGGGATGGTGAGGAGAGGGGATGGGTAACTGGGAGGTAGAAGTGGGACACAGTGCCTGGGTAGGGATGCACCATCACTGCTATAATTAATCAATTCTTTGAGGCATTATATTGTGTAATTAGTGTGTAGTAAAGGGGCTAAGTGGATACAGACAGTATTTACAGGTAACTAAGTGTTGTTGTTAAGGGTAAGGCAACTCAAATGTGGCCTTTGAAACATGCCACAACAAAGATGATGATTAAATTAAGATGTTCAAGGCAATAGATAAGAAGCAAAAGCTGCAAGGGTCCGACTATTGCATGGATTGGACAGTTCAATGAAATTGAAAGGCTTTTTAGTGCATGAATTTGGTCATCAGGGTAAATGGCTAGAGGCAGACATGAGACAGCGCTACTGTCTGGAGGGGACTGTAGGGGTACTATGTTGACTCACCTGCTGTTCCAAGAATCTCTGGGTTTGCTGGAAATATCCCTGGGGTGTATTGTTTTAAGACTGACTCATGGTTTTGTGGTCTTAGATGAAATGGGAGATGGCAGGGATGGGCATGTCTTTAAGGAATGGTGTGGGGCAGGAATTAGTGCAGCGGCATAAGAAATACTGACAACTGAGACAAAAACATTTGTCACGTGCCTGTGGCATGGAGGGGGTGTGAGACAGAGTTCTTCACAGGCAAAGTGCTGAGTCGTGAGGACACGGGATCCCATCACCAGTCCTGGCAAATGGTCGACAGTACAAATAGCCTATCTCAACAGGTCGAACCATTTATGACTCAAACATGACATGGACAGAAGTAGCAGGACCCCAAGTCATCAGCTCGTTGACTGATCTGATTTACAATCCATAAGAATAATCTCCATCTAACATCTATCAGAAATGTCCTGAATTTCTTGTATTGATTGTAATAGGGTGTGTGGAGTAAATCCATATGTGTGTGTACATGGGCATATGTCCATGTTGATATGTGTGTGTGACCATGGGTGTGTGTGACCATGGGTGTGTGTGACCATAGGTGTGTGTGACCATAGGTGTGTGTGACCATGGGTGTGTGTGACCATAGGTGTGTGTGACCATGGGTGTGTGTGACCATCGGTGTGTGTGACCATGGGTGTGTGTGACCATGGGTGTGTGTGACCATGGGTGTGTGTGACCATAGGTGTGTGTGACCATGGGTGTGTGTGTATGTCTGTTTATGTGACCTTGTTCTTTGAAGTACGCCCCTCGCTACATCCATCACACACTCAACTGCACTTTTTCTTCTCCCTGATTTACAACTGGCCTACCTACCAGCCAGCATGCCGTCCCAATAACCCCCACACGATAGGCTAAAGGTCAAAGGTTAAAGCTCCATCCTGTCACTCAAGACGTTCAGCTGCAGAACAGTCACGTTCAGCCTGGTGAGAGGGTTACATCCATAGCGTCATAATTTAGACGTGTCATCACCTCATTTCAACAGCGTCTGATAGAGTTACACCGTAGGTCTGCTTCAGACTACAGTTCCGTACATAGAAGAAAAAAATTCACCCATAGAAATAAAATGTGTACATTCTATTTCTCTGGCTACACCACTCTATTGTAAATCCGTTTCTTAGAGAACTTTATAGAAGCTTTTTGATTATTTTTGGCGCCACAGCAAGTGCCAATCTTCATTTTGAATGAACTACATTGTTCAATCTTAAACCCCTGCACTCTCTCACCCTTGAAAGGGAATACCGGTCCTTCATCTCCAGTGAAATCAATAGCCCTCTCAGGAGGCACGAAGGTTATCTCATTCAGCAGTGAAACCCATAGGCCGCCCTGGAAAACCCATAGGCCGCCCTGGATGGCCTGATACTGAGGATGAATGGGTGTGAATGACTGATGGTTTATAAAGCAATATAAATGCTCTTCAGATGGCCAATGAGCTAATCCTCTCAAATCCAGCTCTGCCAGGACTGACCCAACTTCTTAGGACTACAACTCAACCACTTTGGACTACAACTTCCAGGATTCCCTGAAGAGAAACACAACACAGCTCTGATGGCTGAAGAGCTATTTTGGGACTGGTGCCTCTTAAGGAGTTGTATGGTTTTCTTTTTCTTGTACTCATTTAATCAACTGGAAACGAATAATGAACAAATACACCAAAGTCTACGGTAGATAAACACCTCCTTTTGAAAATTATGCCATGTCCAGGTGCCCCAGTTGGAAACAAACACTTCAGGAAACGAAACACATCCACTTGCCTGCGTGCATGTGGGTGTGTGTGAGTACGTGTGTGCATGTATGGATGTAGGTGCATGTGTGTGAGAGACATATGTCTACTCAGCAGGGTGTTTTGATTAATGATATATTAATCATCATCTGAGAATGCTTGCCTGCCCCCTCCTCTGTATGTTATGGGACATCGAGGCCTAGCCCAGGAGGTTTGGGCCCCAATACTGCGGTGTCGGCTGACCTGACTGACTGACAGACGGCTGCAGTACTGTACCTGTCAGCGGATCCTAGAGACTTGAGCGTCACCAGCACCTTGCCAAAATAGTCCATGGTTGGTGTGGCTCTGGGTCTATATTTATCCAGTGCTGCTGTTGTGGATGTTTGTGTATCCTAAAGTGCTGTGTTGCTATTTGAAAGGTAGTAGTGCCATGATATTATGTGAAATTAATGTGCACTCTGCACTCTGTTTTGGTCTATTGCAGAGAGAGAGAGAGAGAGAGAGAGGAGAGAGAGAGAGAGAGAGAGAGAGGAGAGAGAGAGAGGAGAGAGAGAGAGAGAGAGAGAGAGAGAGAGATAGAGAGATAGAGAAAGTATACTACATAGAAATAGAATGAATAGAACAGGCTTGGAACCTCTAACCCTGGCAATTTGACTGGTAACCTGATGGGTACACTCACAGTAGATGCGGTAAAGAGTTACAGTTAAAAAACAAATTTGACTACCATTACCAATTTCTGTATGCTAGCTATTCTAACCAGCTTATACGAACAGGAGTTAGCATTTAGTCACTTATTCTTAACCTGAAAAGGGACAACTTCTACATGTTATGCAGCAAAAACAGCTGAATATATCAAAATCTGACTTAAGTAAGCACATTATGGGCCTGTTACAATACATAAATCATGACAGATTTGACGAATATCCACTTTGTCAGATTAGATTTGTTGAATGCGCGGCAATCTGGTCAATGGAACAATCTGGTCAATCTGCGTTCCATTGACTCCTTTACCGCATCTATGGCTGCCTGGTATTGTGATGCAATGATTTCCATGGTAATGTAGAATGTTCATTCAAACAGTGGCGGTCGGTGCCGTTTAAGATTAGGGAAGATATTTTTTTTTTATGAGAATGGCCTTATTTCTATTACAGCATATTGGATGACTGTCATTCATATTCCATTCACCCAGCTCAATGTTACATCAATAGGTTTAGGCTACTACATGATACTCAACGTTTCCTTATACCCATCATGAGGTTGCTACAACCTAGCCTATGAATGAAAGTTTATAGCGTACGTGCACAGGTCAAGATACATTTTAGTAATCAAGGTGACAGATAGTCACACATTCAATACCGTCTTGCACACTCTTGCCTGCATCTAGCTGATCTAGGGTGTAATCATTAGTCCAAACAGTTGCAAACGAGAGTTTCTCTTGGACAAGTTCAGGTATGTTTATCAACGTTCTGTTCCGTTTGCTTCGGTTTATGAACATTTTTAACAGAATCGGTGGAATGAATACACCCCTGATCACCCCTAACCACAGTTCACGTTCATAGCAGCCACATACAAACAGCATGATCTCTTTGCTCATTATATAATTCCTACAATCATGCAGTACTGTGTACAGCAAGCAGTTTAGCAGTTACACCGGCGGGCCCCGGTGGCAATAAATTAATCAAACCAAAAGTTTACCTTGACTTGGAAGAGTTCCAGTGTTGGATAGCCACAACCAGCTAGCTAACATAGCATCCCTCTGTTTGAGCCAGGTGTTTGAGTAGGCTAAACTAACTAGCTAGCTTACTATTTCACAGCGATTTATATGGTACAATGATTCTCTACACTATACTTGCTTGTTTTGTTTACAAACTGAAATTAAGCGAACTATTCGAATTTTAACAAGAAGGAAATGGCAGAGCGACTTCTACCTAGTGCATCTTTAATTGAAAGTGAAAACAAAATATAGCTAGCTCTCTCTCTCTCTCTCTCTCTCTCTTGCTTCTCCTTCATTTTGAATACATGTATTTGTTCAAAACTGTTCAACTATTGTCTTTCTCTCTATTTGAGTCAACTACTCATCACATTTTATGCACTGCAGTGCTAGCTAGCTGTAGCTTATGCTTTCAGTAGTAGATTCATTCTCTGATCCTTTGATTGGGTGGACAACATGTCAGTTCATGCTGCAAGAACTCTGATAGGTTGGAGGACGTTCTCCGGAAGTTGTCCATTACTGTGTAAGTCTATGGAAGGTGGTGAGAACCATGAGCCTCCTAGGTTTTGTATTGAAGTCAAAATACCCAGAGGAGGACGGAAACTAGCTGTCCTCCGGCTACACCATGGTGCCACCTTCATTGCAAAACAGTGTGTTTAATCAATTATTTGGTGACATGTGAATATGTTAGTATGGTTTTATCTAAAAAGGATAACTTTTTTAATGTTTCACTATTTTTATGAAATTCACTGAGGAGGATGGTCCTACCCTTCCTCCTCTGAGGAGCCTCCACTGCATTCAAATTACGCTAAATGATGTGGCTTTTTGCAATGGAATGTATTTTTTTGTAGTGTCGGTTGAGTTGATTCAACAAATCACAGCACAGATTGATGGGCACACTTCCTGTTTTTTCTTCCTGCTTTGATGTTATGGGTACACTCGCAATGGCTAATCAAAAGGGGACCATCGCGCTCTCCCAGAAGCTTGGCTGGTGCGTAAAATCAGCAAATTCAGACAAACAAAAGGTGTAATGGGTCCTCACTCAAAAAGACGTCTCATAAAGCTTACTTCATTTGTTGTATTATTTCCACTGCATCAGGGATAGCGTACACAGCCATTCGGCTTTGCAGCCTTCTTCAGTGTGTAGCTACAATTTCCTTTTAATTCCAAAACAGCATTTGTAGGGAACAACCGATGAGACTGTTATACAACACTGTCCATATCAGATTTTACATATCGTTTATAAGTCAGTCCCACATATTTATGAACGGCTGAGCCTGATGTCCTTTGTGGTGGGCTATCTCATGAATTGATATAATGTATCAAAGAGAGCAAACACCTAAGTCAATTGATTCATGAATTGCCCTTCGTGCCTGCACCCATCCCTATAATTCTGTATTTATTTGTGACTAAGTTGTATACTAGTAGACCAGAAAAGCTACATTCCTGATTGACAGATGAGTGGCAACCCTGATTAGAAGCACCTGCTATACTTGCAATGGCTGCCAGTCCACCCATTATGCCAACGTCGACTTGAATGGGGACGCCCCTTAATTCTATTTCTATGGTATAATCTAGGTCAGGCAATGAGATAGATGAGGAGAGCGTGTCATCTCATTTAGATGTACAGTATGTGCTCCTCCCTCTTCCCTTCCCTGATTTGTCATGAAGCGAACTCTCCCCTTGCACTCAGGCAAGAAACCTGCCCGCTTCACAACTCATGCCCCCAAACAGCAACCTTATATAGGTGTAGTAGTCTGTTTGGCTAAAAGCCTTTAGCTGAGTTTAGCTCTCAATCTGTCTAACAGGCCGTTCTAGAACCGGACCTCTTCATATGAATACCCCTCCCCCCATGAAAAATATGGACAGATAACTCACTGGGACACAGACGTCAGTTCAACGTGTAGTTTTGATTGATATTTGATTGAGTTGTCATCTAACGTGAATTAAAAGTGAAAACAACAAAAAATCTAACCATGTAATTGAATTTAGATTGGGTGAAATAAAACTACTAAAAGTCCCTAAATTTATGTGTGTTGATGACTTTTTGCAAATTTAATCAGTTTTCCACGTTGATTCAACGTCATCAGACTGAATATTTTTATTGAAATGACATGGAAACAATGTTGTTTGAACCAGTTTGTACCCAGTGGGAAGTGTCTACAGGGGAAAACCTATTTATCTGACCAGTAAATAGTGGGGACTTTAGCTGAAAATCAGCTTTCCTGGGACAGCCTGCTATTATACTATTATAACACAGTATAATAATTAACCTCTGATATTTGGGCCGCTGTTTTACAGTTATTCACAAAAAACATTTCCCCAAAAGGTACATAAAATCAAACTGCACACCAAGACATAAAGCAAGGACGACTATTGCTTGCATCCCGCAGTTACTGGCTAGGATCTCTAGGCCATCAGTGCCAGCTATCATCATTGCCATGGTGTGGAACATGACAGCCTGGTTATGGGATTTTGCTATGCAATACAAGTAACTGCACAGTAGAACTGATAGATTATCCTTCATGTCAGTCTGTGTGTCTCTGTGTGTATGTTTGGGTGCCTGCACCTCTTTGATGACGTGATAGAAGAGATCTGTGAAAGCAGGGTTGCACCTGTTGCTATCCAAGCACCCAGTTACCCCAACGCAGTCAGCAGAACTGTTATCCCACCCCCTCAGTATGCAGGCCGCGGATGTGGCAACATCGTTGGTTGAGCCCGGTTGTCAGTCATAAGGGTCAAGTTTCGCACAGATTTAGAAAGTGCATGAACAGCGCTCTGAGTCCCAGGCTTTTATGGTGGAGGAACTGGAGGAAAATATGTGTGAAATAAGACAACTACATTTCTGTTTGCTTTAGTGTGTACACAGTGCACTGAGAATGACACCTGTCCCTCCAGCAAACCCACAAAGCTGAGGGTGAAGTGAATGCATATCAATTTCCTTACAGAACAATTTCCTTACATTGTTCCATACCATTTCCTTAAAGAATACTCATAAATTAAAAACAAACTTCCCCATGTCCCTATAAGTTGTCCGTACATTATACAGAGGATATTCCTGCTCAGGCATAAAGGTGCCACTGTATGTTTTCAGTTATGTGAAAGTGTTTTTTTTTCACAGCTTGCAGCTCAGGTCCTTGATGACCTTGACGATGAGGATATTGGATTTGGCCTTGTTGATGAGAAGAAGGGCAGTGTTGTTGCTAAGAAACTAGGTAAATACGCACTGAAATAGACACTATTACCGATATTCAAGATTCATAGGATTATTTATAGTTCTGAGGTCAGTTATGGTGAAATTGTCACCATCTTTCAACATGATCCATTTGTCAAAGTGTCACAATCAAATCTAGACATCACCACTGACCAGGTATGTGCTCAGTGGAGTAAACTGCCTGACCGGTCTCACTGGATGCATCTCAATAGTCCTAAGTGGATTCCTCTCCTTGTCTTGCCTCCTTCATCTGCAACTCTCAGTGTAGATAATTCCCCCTGTGGAGGGCGCTGCAGAACACTATTTCACATTTCTACTTTTATGTGCACGAGCTGCTGTGCGGGTCACACATCAACAGGCTGCTGACTAAGATACCTCACTCTTTTGATGATAGTTTTGCAGAGTACTGTTTTTCAAAAAGGGTATTTTGAAGGAAGGGGGCACTGAGACTTACACTATCCCAGAATCAGGAAATATATTATAGGAGAAAGCAATATGGTGGACGCCCATTGCCCACTGAGACATCACCTTTATAATTCTCTCACCTCAGTGATGATGAAGTAAAGGAAACTGGGAGAAGAAGCCACTAGACTTTTGAGAGGCACCCGTTGTCAGTGTGCTAAGGCAGCCCATGAGCAAGCCTGACCTCTAGTGGATTCAAGGGTATGACTGGATATGTAAGCCCCGAGTAGAAATTATGCTGTCTCCTCAGGACTTGAGGAGGCCGACAGCATCTACATCTTCACCGAGAACGAGATCATTGAGTACGATGGGGAGCTTGCTGCAGACACAATTGTGGAGTTCATCTATGATGTATGTTAAAATAATGTCATCTATTTATGCTCTCTTCTACCTGGCTGCAATTTGTAGGAAACTGGCTATTTATCCACCACTGATATATTTTGTACTGTTTCTTTCTCTTTCCCTGTACTATGATCTCCCTCCCCCCATCCATCTTTCTTTTACTCTGTTCAAGGTTCTTGAAGACCCAGTTGAGATCATTGAGAACGATCTGGAGGTTAAAGGTTTCCATAACATTGAGGAGGACATAAAACTGGTGGGCTACTTTAAGAGTGAAAAGTCTGAACGTAAGAATATATAATGTATATTTTAACATTTTAATTTCTATATTTGTACTGTATAGTACATGTTATGGATAAAACAGTGTATTCACAGTGTATTTGTCAACTAAAAATCTAGATTTTACTAAGGTCTTAACAGATACCTGTAACATTTCAGATTATTTGGCCTATGTGGACGCGGCTGAGGAGTTCCACCCACACATTAAGTTCTTCGCTACATTCACTCCCAAGGTGAACAACCTTACCCACTAACAACTACATCCTCAAAATTACACCGGAGCTCTACTCTCCTTTAAAAGTAGCCCATTACTCCTTCAGTCCAATCCTCTGTGTTCCAGGTTGCCAAGGATCTGGGCCTGAAGGTAAATGAGGTGGACTTCTATGAACCCTTCATAGATGAACCCATAGTCATCCCTGGAAAACCCTACACAGAGGAGGAGCTTGTCGAGTACATCGAGGATCACGACAGGTGAGATTCATGGCCATAGTGGCCAGAATGGCACAATACATAATGAGAAGGGTCAGGTGTTCTTTCCTGGCTTAGTGATTTGACCTGGAAAAACTCCAGGCCCTATAACTAGGTGTAAAGGGAATTTTCAGTTGAACCAAAAGGAGAGCAGTCGTTGATAATATCAATCAAAATAAACAGTTGCAACAGGGAGACACCTCCAGAAAAAATGTCTAATCGGGCCTCTTGGAGATGGGCCCCTTTACATTCTAATCGAACTGTACTAAATGTTCTCTAAACATCAGCCCAAGAGGCTTGTACAAAGTCAAAACAAATGACAGTGACTTTGCCAGCTGCTACAGAATCACACAGTGTTCATAATGTCATCAATACAATAATAATCAGTGTGTCCTCGGTCCTTGTACCTTGAGTAGCTCCGGCGTCAATCCCTATCAAACGATATGAGAACAATCCATAACAGTCAGTAACAAGTCTAGTGACCATCAACCCATACACAAATGAGTGTTGCAAATCATGTGTATTACAGAAAGGGAAAACATATAAATATGCTAAGCATTGTGTTAATTACTCTTAACTGACTATTCCCATTACAGTAGGACTCAAAGTTTAAAAAGTGTAACCTTCCTCAATGAACAATAAATAAATATCTGGTGTCCCATTTCTTTATAGACCAACCCTGAGGAAGATGGAGCCAGATAACATGTATGAGATCTGGGTAAGCTATACCAACTATTCCCATAAAAATCATCCTACAAAACAAAATGGATGATGTCTTCTTAGTAAGCATACCTCCCCAATTTGTATTGTTATCCAGCTAAGTATACTGAAAAAAAAATGCAACATGCTGAACAAAAATATAAACGCAACATGGAACAATTTCAAAGATTTTACTGAGTTACAGTTCATATAAGGAAATCAGTCAATTTAAATAAATAAATTAGGCCCTAATATATGGATTTCACATGACTGGGCATAGGCCCACCCACTGGGGAGCCAGGCTCAGCCAATCACAATAAGTTTTTCCCCACAAAAGGGCTTTATTACAGACAAGCCGGATGTGGAGGTCCTGGGCTGGCGTGGTTACACGTGGTCTGCAGTTGTGAGGCCGGTTGGACGTAATGCCAAATTCTCTAAAACGACGTTGGAGGCAGTATATGGTAGAGAAAGTCACATTGAATTATCTGGCAACAGCTCTAGTGGACATTCCTGCAGTCAGTATGCCAATTGCATGCTCTCTCAAAACATTTTACATTTTAGTCATTTAGCAGACGCTCTTATCCTGAGCAACTTACAGTTAGTGAGTGAGTGCATACATTATTTTTCTTTTCTTTTTCATACTGGCCCCCGTGGGAATCGAACCCACAACCCTGGCGTTGAAAACGCCATGCTCTACCAACTGAGCTACATCAAAACTTGAGACATCTGTGGCATTGTGTTGTGTGACAAAACTGCATATTTTAAAATTGCATTTTATTGTCCCCAGCACAAGGTGCACCTGTGTAATCAAATTAAATCAAATCATATTTTATTGGCCACATGCGCCGAATACAACAGGTGCAGACATTACAGTGAAATGCTTACTTACAGCCCTTAACCAACAGTGCATTTATTTTTAACAAAAAAGTAAAAATAAAACAACAACAAAAAAAGTGTTGAGAAAAAAAGAGCAGAAGTAAAATAAAATAACAGTAGGGAGGCTATATATACAGGGGGGTACCGGTGCAGAGTCAATGTGCGGGGGCACCGGCTAGTTGAGGTAGTTGAAGTAATATGTACATGTGGGTAGAGTTAAAGTGACTATGCATAAATAATTAACAGAGTAGCAGCAGCGTAAAAGGATGGGGTGGGGGGGCAGTGCAAATAGTCCGGGTAGCCATGATTAGCTGTTCAGGAGTCTTATGGCTTGGGGGTAGAAGCTGTTGAGAAGTCTTTTGGACCTAGACTTGGCACTCTGGTACCGCTTGCCGTGCGGTAGCAGAGAGAACAGTCTATGACTAGGGTGGCTGGAGTCTTTGACAATTTTGAGGGCCTTCCTCTGACACCGCCTGGTATAGAGGTCCTGGATGGCAGGAAGCTTGGCCCCAGTGATGTACTGGGCCGTACGCACTACCCTCTGTAGTGCCTTGCGGTCGGAGGCCAAGCAGTTGCCATACCAGGCGGTGATGCAACCAGTCAGGATGCTCTCGATGGTGCAGCTGTAGAATTTTTTGAGGATCTGAGGACCCATGCCAAATCTTTTCAGTCTCCTGAGGGGGAATAGGCTTTGTCGTGCCCTCTTCACGACTGTCTTGGTGTGTTTGGACCATGATAGTTCGTTGGTGATGTGGACACCAAGGAACTTGAAGCTCTCAACCTGTTCCACTACAGCCCTGTCGATGAGAATGGGGGCGTGCTCAGTCCTCTTTTTTTTCCTGTAGTCCACAATCATCTCCTTTGTCTTGGTCACGTTGAGGGAGAGGTTGTTGTCCTGGCACCACACGGCCAGGTCTCTGACCTCCTCCCTATAGGCTGTCTCATCGTTGTCGGTGACCAGGCCTACCACTGTTGTGTCGTCGGCAAACTTAATGATGGTGTTGGAGTCGTGCCTGGCCATGCAGTCATGGGTGAACAGGGAGTACAGGAGGGGACTGAGCACGCACCCCTGAGGGGCCCCCGTGTTGAGGATCAGTGTGGCAGATGTGTTGTTACCTACCCTTACCACCTGGGGGCGGCCCGTCAGGAAGTCCAGGATCCAGTTGCAGAGGGAGGTGTTTAGTCCCAGGATCTTTAGCTTAGTGATGAGCTTTGAGGGCACTATGGTGTTGAATGCTGAGCTGTAGTCAATGAATAGCATTCTCACGTAGGTGTTCCTCTTGTCCAGGTGGGAAAGGGCAGTGTGGAGTGCAATAGAGATTGCATCATCTGTGGATCTGTTGGGGCGGTATGCAAATTGGAGTGGGTCTAGGGTTTCTGGGATAATGCTGTTGATGTGAGCCATGACCAGCCTTTCAAAGCACTTCATGGCTACAGACGTCAGTGCTACGGGTCGGTAGTCATTTAGGCAGGTTATCGTAGAGTCCTTGGGCACGGGGACTATGGTGGTCTGCTTGAAACATGTTGGTATTACAGACTCAGTCAGGGACATGTTGAAAATGTCAGTGAAGACACTTGCCAGTTGGTCAGCACATGCTCGGAGTACACGTCCTGGTAATCCGTCTGGCCCTGCGGCCTTGTGAATGTTGACCTGCTTAAAAGTCTTACTCACATCGGCTACGGAGAGCGTGATCACATAGTCATCCGGAACAGCTGGTGCTCTCATGCATGCTTCAGTGTTGCTTGCCTCGAAGCGAGCATAGAAGTGGTTTAGCTCGTCTGGTAGGCTTGTGTCACTGGGCAGCTCGCGGCTGTGCTTCCCTTTGTAGTCTGTAATAGTTTTCAAGCCCTGCCACATCCGACGAGCGTCAGAGCCAGTGTAGTATGATTCAATCTTAGTCCTGTATTGACTCTTTGCCTGTTTGATGGTTCGTCGGAGGGCATAGTGGGATTTCTTATAAGCGTCCGGGTTAGAGTCCCGCTCCTTGAAAGCGGCAGCTCTACCCTTTAGCTCAGTGCGGATGTTTCCTGTAATCCATGGCTTCTGGTTGGGGTATGTACGTACGGTCACTGTGGGGACGACATCATCGATGCACTTATTGATGAAGCCAGTGACTGATGTGGTGTACTCCTCAATGCTATCTGAAGAATCCTGGAACATGTTCCAGTCTGTGCTAGCAAAACAGTCCTGTAGCTTAAACATGAAGCTGTTTAATCAGCTTCATGATATGCCACACCTGTCAGGTGGATGGATTTTCTTGGCAAAGGAGAAATGCTCACTAACAGGGATGTACTCAAACTTGTGCACAACATTTGAGAGAAATACACTATTTGTGCGTATGGAACATTTCTGGGATTATTTTTTTTTAGCTCATGAAACATGGGACCAACACTTTACATGTTGTGTTTATATTTTTGTTCAGCGTATTTATGTGGCCTAAATGTGCAGACACGGATGGAAATACACTTGTAGGTAGTCTATATTCCCCATTTCAGTTTTCTTACCTGGTGTTAGCGTGTTTAAGGAGTCTGTCTTTTCTTAGGAGGATGACATCGATGGCGAGCACATCATTGCATTCGCAGAGGAGGATGATCCAGGTACATAACTAAAGGGGCGGCTAATGAGTCAATAGGACTGGGTGGGGGAGGAAGGAAACATTGTCAGCTAGATGGATTTCATAAGGCTTTATGTACATTTGACCCTTGACCTTTGACTTCCCAGATGGTTTTGAGTTCCTGGAAATCCTAAAGGAAGTAGCAGAGGAGCACAATGATAATCCCAACCTCAGCATTGTCTGGATTGACCCAGATGACTTCCCCTTGGTAAAATCATGGTCATTGCTGGTCACTTATCAATACAATTTCCCACATTTATGAGATTCTGATTGCTGTTGATTTCTTCCTGGAATATTTTCCTTCCTCTTTAGCTTGTCCCATACTGGGAGAAGACCTTTGGAATTGACCTGGGCTCTCCCCAGATTGGTGTTGTGGATGTTGAAGATGTGAGTAATGTTGCTGTCATGTATGAGGAGTCATGAGGTTCTACACATAGAAATAGAATGAATAGAACGGGCTTGGAACCTCTAACCCTGGCAATTTGACTTGTAAACTCATGCGTACACCAATGTATTTTTTGTAATGTCAATGTATTGTTCAGTTGATTCAACAAATCACAGCACAGAATGATGGGTACACTTCCTGCTTTGATTCTATGGGTACACTCGCAATGGCATCAAGTCCACCCATTATGTTTTCATTGACTTGAATGGGGATGCCCGTTCTATTCATTCTATTTCTAAAAAACATTCAATAGTCTATCTTTGGCGCTGAATTGGTTTTTGTCTCTCTATAGGCCGACAGCGTATGGATGGAGATCGACAATGATGACGACCTACCAAGCGCAGATGAGCTTGAGGAATGGATTGAAGATGTTCTTTCAGATGAAATTGATCCAGATGATGATGATGATGATGATGATGATGATGACGACGACGACGATGATGATGATGATGATGATGATGATGAAGACGATGACGACGATGATGATGATGATGATGATGATGATGATGATGATGATGATGATGATGATGAGTAAATTGTTGGTCATCATTTCACTGGCCTATGTCTAAATCTGGCCAATATAATATAATTTGGCCAATCAACATCATCCCCTTCCTCAAGTCTTCCTTGTCCTCTGTTGTAACAAGTCATTAAGTTAAATATGTCCGCTCATATGGACATCCTTATGTTTTCAACATTCTTGCTCAGAGCATCTTGACAAAATGTTTGATTTTTTTCACTTTGCTTTGAATCCATAAAAGACAGTACTTTCTCAGAGCCCCATTTTTTATTTACACCTGTAACTTTTTGAACAATTTGAAAAGGATATAAAAAATGTATTTTGAAAATATTATGTACACAATTTACACTATTGGATATTCACTAGCACTTAATCTTAAAACATCTGATGCTTCTGATTTTTATATTTCAAACAAATAGAGGGGTTACTCTGTTGATGCATTTTAAGTCTGAGTCCATCTGTAAACTTGTTTTCTTTTTGTTTTATTTTCTCCATATTAAATGTTCGCCCATCTCCCAACTTGTCAAATCCAAGGGTGCAAGCGGGCTTTTCCTACGTACAGTTCATTGGTCATACCAACCTACTCTGTTGAATTATTGTAACTTTAGTTGGTAAGCTTTTTTTCTTCTTGTGCACTGAAAAGTGCTTTAAATCACATGGATGTTTTCTACTGACAAAGAAATATAACAACAACAGTATTCTTTTTTTTTTAACAAGAAAACTTAAACATACTGTAAAGGCTTAAAATAAATGACAGCTTGGAAAAAGATTTTAAAGCGACTTGTGTTCTGGATTATTGTGTGTGTGTGTACCATAAAACTTATAAAATAATAGCATTAAATATGTCTCACTGTTAGAATAATTTTATTTCCCCCCTTATGACACAATGACATATTACCATATTACGCACCACGCTTTCCCCGGAAATAAAATGGATTTGGCACAAGACGCTAAGCGTACGTTTGGTCGTCACTAGTTAGCACAGCCACAAAATCATAAACCCCGCCTATTTCTACAATTAATCTTCTTAAAATGTGATTTTAAACCTAACCTTAACCACACTGCTAACCTTAAGCCTAACCTTATATTAAGACCAAAATGCGATATACTTTGTGGATGTGGTAACTAGTGGAAAACCGTACTTTTTTTAATGAAACGTCAGAGACACGCCCCCAGTTTCTCCGACCATGTGGTTGATGATAAACACAGCTTAAATATCTCCCCGTGCTAAGCTTTTTGGTTTCAACATTTGTTCGATTTTAGTTCGATTTCTTACCGCGTGCTCACTATTAGCTGTCAGCATGTCTGTTTCCGACGATGTGAATTTTCAAACCCAGATTGCGTCTGTTTTGGATTCACTTGCAAAGGTGGCCGTCGTGGAAATAACGAAACTGTTCGAGAGTCGCTTCCTTGCTTTGGGAACCACCTTTCTCATTAAAGGGCGGAGGGAACAAAATGAAACCCAGCAAACGGTGGACGCTGTAAAAAAGTCTGGCAAAAAATGCATTCGCAGTATCGGAGTTCAAGTGAATGAGGAGACAACGACGTCCTCAGAGTTACATGAAAGTATGTTAGCTAACGTTTTAGTACTTCATTACACTGGCAATTCCATGGTAACGGAATTACGCAGAAATTCAGATTGTTTCACATTAACATGTATACCAAACAAAAACCATTAATTTCAAAGTTTAACAAACCATACAACTCAATGCACAAATACTACTTTTAACCATTTCCACTGACAATTTTACAAAAACACATTTACAGGAAGAACTGTGCAGATAAACTTTGGTAAATGTATTTACTGTGTAAATTGTTCAAAGTAGCCATTGTGCATAGAGGTATGGTTTGAAATCAGTGGTTTTTGTTTGGCACTGTATGTTACACTTTCCTACATTTGCAGAAATACACACTGTTTAATATGCACGATGACTCTTATCATCTTTCTCTCTGAATATGACTGTTGAATTTTTTTATGGCATTACGTTGGACAGAGTATCTGCAAAACATGATGATTACTGACAAAATGTCAACAAACAACATTTTGGAGGAAAAAAAAAACAACACAATTAGTGATTTGTTTAGTCCCTTTATTGTTATTATTGTCAGTACTGATCTGCACCATGCTGTCTAACCAATGGAATGTTTGTGTGCTTTGCGCTCTACCCCTCCCCCTTCCCATACCCTCTCCAGACCCAAAACAGTGCTTGTCCTTGGAGGGGGGCAGTGGTTCTTTGAATGGGAGCAGTGAGGAGGAGGGTCCTGCACATAGTATCCCTATGCTGAAGGCTAATCAGCCTGCTGAACTCAAGTGCTCTGTTCTAGAAGAGAAGGTCAGTGAGTTGTTTGGGTTAAAGGGATACTTTGTAATTTTGGCAAAGTCCTTTACTTCCCCAGAGTCAGATGAACTCGTACCATCTGTATGTCTTTACGTGCAGTTTGAAGGAAGTTGCTAACTAGCATGCTAGCTGTTACCATAGACTTCCAGTCATTGTGCTAATGCTAGTTAGCATTGGCTTGTGAAACTACCTCAAACTTCCTTCATACCGGACATAGAGACATTAAAAATAGTATGCACAAGTTCATCTGACTCTGGGGAAGTAGATAAAGGGCTTCATTGTAAACCATAAGATGTGTTTGTTACTAGAACTAATGCCTTTTTGACTTGTAGGCTTCAAGCTAATTTGATTAGCTGACACCTGTATTACAGTACCTAAGTAGTTGTCTTTTTGGCTTGTCATCTGTCTGTCAGGTTGTGGAGATGGTGGAGGGGAGCAGTCTGGAACCAAAATCTCCAACAATCACTGAGCAAGAAGGAGAACAAGTGATCTATTCCAGTAAAAAACTAATTTATTCTAGGAGGTGGTAGTGAAGCTATAGACACTGAAATATATTTGTTATAAACTTTTTGTATATAAAGGGTTGAGGTTACTATCTAACAACTATTTTATTTTCTTTCCTCCAGCACCTGAGGATCCAAGCCACCTCTATGTTCCTGTTCAAAGCTCCCCAACTAAGCAGAAACCCCAGCCCCTCAAGACAGAAACAGAGAATGGAATCAATATAGAATGCAAGACTAAAGTCATCTGCCAAACGGTCCCAAAGGCAGAGGAGGAGGATTCAACACCACAGCCTACATGTAAAGAAAAGCCTACCCAGGTGGAGCCCCAGCAGGCCAGCTACAGCACTGCCAAGGGGACAGCCTACAGCCCGTCCTCCTCAGATGGGGCTTTGGCTCCTGTACAGGCTAAGAGTAAGTTGAAATCTATGGATGTAACGAACCCTCCCTCTACTATAATGAAGAAAAAGAAGGTGGATTTCAAGCTGGACCAGACAAAGAAAAATGAGGTGGATTTAAAGCTGGACTGGACAAAGAAAAAGAAGGTGGACTTCAAGCTCGACCAGACGAAGAAGAAGAAGGTGGACTTCAAGCTGGACCAGATGAAGAAGAAGAAGGTGGACTTCAAGCTGGACCAGATGAAGAAGGTGGACTTCAAGCTGGACCAGATGATGATGATGATGAAGAAGAAGAAGAAGTTGGACTTCAAGCTGGACCAGACAAAGAAGAAGGTGGACTTCAAGCTGGACCAGACAAAGAAGCAGGTGGACTTCAAGCTGGACCAGACAAAGAAAAAGGTGAACTTAAAGCTGGACCAGACCTCCCTGGAGCAGAAGTTGACGAGGCCCTGCTCTGTGCAGCTGGTGAACCTACTTTTGGTGCCCGGAGGAAAGAACTCTGGAGGGAAGAAGAAGGCTAATGGTAGCTACTGTCATGACAACAAGCGGTTCCCCATGCCAAAGGACCTCAAGACCCACCAAGGCCTCCACACGGGCCGACGCCTCTGCTGCTTCACTCAGTGTGGGAACGGTGTCTGGCGGCTGCAAGGGGTCCTCTCCTCAAGCCGCGCCCATGGCTGCAAGATCTGTGGGAAGCGCTTCAAGCGCAGGAAGATCCTGAGGAGGCACGAGCGCTTCCACACTGGTGAGAAGCCCTACTCCTGCTCCCAGTGCTCCAAGACATTCGCCCTGCGGAAAAGCCTCCGCAGGCACGAGAGGTTCCATACAGGGCAGAGACCTCACAGCTGCCCCCAGTGTGGGAAGAGCTTCCGTCTCAGGGACAATCTGAAGGCTCATCTGCGCTTTCATACCGGTGAGAGACCTTTCACCTGTTCCTTTTGCTCCAAGAGCTTCAGAATCTTCCGGAATCTTGAAAAACACAGCATCGATCACTTGGGAGCGACAGCGAAATAGCTAATTTTCCGGCGAAAGAGAACTGTGCTAAAAGCATGAGCAGCCTTATGTAGGCCGCCTTACAAAACTGTCCTACCTCTAACTGAAACTAAATGTCCATTCCTCATTATAACCAACCCTTCAGTGTTGGTTATTTTTTAATGATGCTATGATGGTAAATTGCCATTATGAGAGATGGGGACAGTGGAGAGATCTGAAAGGACTCAGTCAACCATCCTTCATAGGTTTGGATTATCCAGAATGATCATCAGTGTAAGCTTCAGTGGACATTGATGTTATTGACAGCCATAATGTTCTAATACAGTAAGGGACAATTTTCCAGACACATTATGCCTAGTCGTAAACCAAAAAGTTATTTCAATGGAGCTTTTCTATTTATCATGCTGGACTAGGCTTAAAGGGACTCTTCAGGATTTTTGCAATGAAGCCCTTATCTACTTCTCCAGAGTCGGATTAACTCATGGATACCATTTGTATATGTCTGCGTGCAGTTTGAAGGAAGTTGCTAACTAGCACAATGACTGGAAGTCTATGGTGACTGCTAGCATGCTAGTAGATAACATAGACTTCCAGTCATTGCGCTAACGCCAGTTAGGGCATTGGCTCGCGAAACTACACTACATGACCAAAAGTATGTGGACACCTGCTCGTCGAACATCTCATTCCAAAATCATGGGCATTAATATGGAGTTGGTCCCCCCTTTGCTGCTATAACAGCGTCCACTCTTCTGGGATGGCTTTCTACAAGATGTTGCAACATTGCTGCGGGGACTTTCTTCCATTCAGCCACAAGCATTAGTGAGGTCGGGCACTGATGTTGGGCAATAAGACCTAGCTCGCATTCCAATTAATCCCAAAGGTGTTCGATCAGGTTGAGGTCAGGCCTCTGTGCAGGCCAGTCAAGTTCTTCCACACAGATCTCGACAAACCATTTCTGTATAGACTTTGTGCACTGGGGCATTGTGGCGCAGCGGTCTAAGGCACTGCATCTCAGTGCTTGAGGCGTCACTACAGACCCCCTGGTTCGATTCCAGGCAGTATCACAACCGGCCGTGATTGGGAGTCCCATAGGGCGGCGCACAATTGGCACAGCGTCGTCCAGGTTTGGCCGGTGTAGGCCGTCATTGTAAATAATAATTTGTTCTTAACTGACTTGCCTAGTTAAATAAAGGTAAAATAAAAACAGGAAAGGTCCTTCCCCAAACTTGCCACAAAGTTGTAAGCACAGAATCGTCTAGAATGTCATTGTATGCTGTAGCATTAAGATTTCCCTTCACTGGAACTAAGGGGCCTAGCCCGAACCATGAAAAAGAGCCCCAGACCATTATTCCTCCTCCACCAAACTTTACAGTTGGCACTATGCATTGGGGCAGGTAGCGTTCTCCTGGCATCCGCCAAACCCAGATTAGTCCGTCGGACTGCCAGATGGTGAAGCGTGATTAATAATTCCAGAGAACACTTTTCCACTGCTCCAGAGTCCAATGACGGCGAGCTTTACACCACTCCAGCCGACGCTTGGCATTGCGCATGGTGATCTTAGGCTTGTGTGCGGCTGCTCGGCCATGGAAACCCATTTCATGAAGCTCCCGACTAACAGTTATTGTGCTTATACACCTTTCAGTACTAATTTGAAGGGGTGTCCACATACTTTTGTATATATAGTGTACCTCTTAGCTGCCTTCATACGGAGGGCAGAGACATAAAAATTGAATCCATGAGTTCATCTGACTCTGGGGAAGTAGATAAAATACTTAATTGCCTAAATTAAGTTTTGCTTTAATCTGGGTCTGGAAAACTGTCCCTAGGTCTTTACACTGTATTTCGTTGGACAAAACACAAGGGACCTGGGCTGAGATTAGTTTGAGATTTTTCTCAGACCGCAATCTGTGTTCATGATACATCTCTTGACTTTGTTGTAAATACAAACAGATTGTTCATTTGTGTATCTTTGTTCATAAGTTGTTTTAAAGATGGGTGTAAAGTTTTTGATACTTTTATCTCAAACTCTAAACCATTATGCCAAATACTATAGTAACGCAGTAACTTTCTCTCATTCTTGTTATCCATACTGCTGTTTTTGTCAGGTAAACACCCTCCTTACTTTTTCCTTTGTAGAAGTCAGGGAAGTTTCTCTAAACACACATGACTTAGTTTAAAATGAAAAGAATGGGCAGTATGATGTAGCCTTTTAATGTGTAGAGAGAAGTTATTTCATATGTATTATGTGATTGTAGCTGATGTCTCTGGCTTATTTTCTGAAGATATTAGACATATATTACTACATGGCTTTTTTTGTCAACTAATTATATTAAATTCTAACCCAAAACGCTGTAATCTGTGTTAAAATAATAAAACAATGTTTTTACTGGAAAATAGTTGTAATCTTCATGAAAAGATTCATCAAAGGTCTATGTTTTTGGTAAGTACTGTAGTAACCTTGTGGGAATTCCTGATTGTTACACAATCACAGCCACAAGTTGGCCCTTTGTCTGGCAATAAAAGACATCACCTGTATTATTGGTTTCACTAATGACTTTTAAACATTCACTCAACCAGACACTTCGGATGTGTCAGTCTCTGTTCCCTCTGTTCGAAAAGTTAATGTATGTTACAGTACCATATTCTGTTCTATTTTATAGCATATTCAAAAATTCCAGCCACAAAGATGTCATAACTGGTCCTTGCAATCCGGTTTTCTTGGGAAATCTCTAGCCCATTGAAGTTGAAATTTAAAATGGTTAAGGTAAGGGTTAAAGGAAAATTTCACCCAAAAACGATCTAGGTATTTGTTTCATAAGTCCATTGTTGATACAGCCCCAAAATGTTTTGCATATCAGCAATCAAATTTTCAAGATGTATAACTTCTGAAATACAGCTGGTGTCATGCATTTTGCATCATATGAGTGAGCTTTGCTTTCACTTTTGAATGATTGCACTGCACACTGAGAGAGGGAGAATCTCAATTGCACACTCCTTGCGTCCTCTCTCCTCGCCTCTTCAAAACCCATTGGATGAGAAAGCCAGAGGTCCCTCCCCTCTGACCTTCTCCAATTGGTTTTTAGAAGGAGGCAAGGAGAGAGGATGTGAGGAGTATGTAACTGAGACTCTCCCAAGGAAACACACACAGGCAAGGACTCACGGAAGACCTTATCGGTAGATTATTACCTTTGTTTTGTGTGATTTAGTTGCACAGACCTTCCCATGGCTCATTACCTACTGTGTTAACATGACATTCACTTCAGCAGTTGGCTACAATTGAAACGGGCAACTTTGAGTTCCACCCACAGCAGACTGCAGAGAGACTTCCTTTCCTTAAACCCTCTGGGTTTCCACTCTACGTTTCTGCCTTCTGCTCCAATTTTCTTTGAACAACAGGAAGGGAGCAAGATGGACAAAAAATTGACCATTCCTCCCTCAAGGAGAACCCAGCTGGAGTTGATGCTGACATGCCCAGTGTGCCAGGACATATTTAAGGACCTGCACCAGCTGCCCTGTAGGCACAGCTACTGTATGGTGTGTCTGGAGGGCATGATAGACTTTCCTTCGGAGATGCCTTTCTACTGCCCAGACTACAGGGCCTACTTTGGGGACATCATTGGGGTCCAGAAGAGTGCACATACAGTGCCTTCGGAAAGTATTCAGAGCCCTTGACTTTTCCACATTTTGTTAGGTTACATCCCAAAATGGATTAAATAGTTTCCCCCCCCCCTCAGCAATCTACACACAATAACCCATAACGATTTTTTTTGGGACATTTTAGCTAATTAAAAATAAAAACTGGAAATAATAAAATTATTCAGACCCTTTACTAAGTACTTTGTTGAAGCACCTTTGGCAGCGATTACAGCCTCAAGTCTTCTTGGGTATGACGCTACAAGCTTGGCACACCTGTATTTGGGGAGTTTCTCCCATTCTTCTCTGCAGATCCTCTCAAGCTCTGTCAGGTTGGATGGGGAGCATTCCTACACAGCTATTTTCAGCTCTCCAGAGATGTTCGATCGGGTTCAAAGTCTGGGCTCTGGCTGGGCCACTCAAGGACATTCAGAGACTTGTCCTGAAGCCACTCCTGTGTTGTCTTGGCTGTGTGCTTAGGGTTGTTGTCCTGTAGGAAGTTGAACCTTCGCCCCAGTCTGAGGTCCTGAGCGCTTTGGAGAAGGTTGTCATCAAGGATCTCTCTGTACTTTTCTCTGTTCATCTTTGCCTCGATCCTGAGTAGTCTTCCAGTTCCTGCCGCTGAAAAACATCCCCACAGCATGATGCTGCCACTACCATGCTTCACAGTAGGGATGGTGCCAGGTTTCCTCCAGAAGTGACTCTTGGCATTCAGGCCATAGAGTTCAATCTTGGTTTCATCAGACCAGAGAATCTTGTTTCTCATGGTCTGAGAGTCTTTAGGTGCCTTTTGGCAAACTCCAAGCGGACTGTCATGTGCCTTTTACTGAGGAGTGGCTTCCGTCTGGCCACTCTACCATACAGGCCTGATTGGTGGAGTGCCGCAGAGATGGTTGTCCTTCTGGAAGGTTCTCCCATCTCCACAGAGGAACTCTAGAGCTCTGTCAGAGTAACCATCGGGTTCTTGGTCACTTCCCTGACCAAGGCCCTTCTCCCCCGATTGCTCAGTTTGGCCGGGCAGCCAGCTCTAAGAAGAGTTTTGGTGGTTCCAAACTTCTTCCATTTAAGAATGATGGAGGTCACTGTGTTCTTGGGGACCTACAATGCTGCAGACATTTTGTGGTACCCTTCCCCAGGTCTGTGCCTCGACAAAATCCTGTTTCGGAGCTCTACGGACAATTCCTTCGACCTCAGGGCTTGGTTTTTGCTCTGACATGCACTGTCAACTGTGGGACCTTATATAGACAGGTGTGTGCCTTTCCAAATCATGTTCGATCAATTGAATTTACCACAGGTGGACTCCAATCAAGTTGTAGAAACATCTCAAGGATGATCAATGTAAACAGGATGCACCTGAGCTCAATTTCGAGTCTCATAGCAAAGGGTCTGAATACTTATGTAAGTAAGGTTTCCACTTTGTCATTATGGGGTATTGTGTGTAGATTGCTGAGGATCATACATTTTTAAAAAAAAAATTAGAATAAGGCTGTAACGTAACAAAATGTGGAAAATGTCAAGGGGTCTGAATACTTTCCGAAGGCACTGTAGAACAACTCTATCACTTCTTAGACTTGCGTTCAACGTGAATGACAGATCTATAACTCACATTTCTATGTGAATTTTGTCGGGTCGCCCAAAAAGTTACATATTGCAGCTTTAACTGATTGATTTCTGATTTAATTGAAGGCTAAGAGGACTGAGTGTGTATTGTGACTGCTGTCCAGAGAAACAGAGCCTGGCGGTGAAGATGTGTCTGAAGCGTGAGGTGTTGCTGTGGCAGGAGCATGTCCAGCATCACCTGCAGCTCCCTGCCTACATGGGACATCCTCTTGTCAAACTCCTAGGAGACCTGAGCAAGAGGAGGTGCCCTGAGCATGAGGACAAGGTGCTGAGGTACTACAGCTCCATGTCTAAAACCTACATCTGGACAAGAAGCGGATGAACCTCATCGTCTTGACGTCCAATGTTCTGGGGAGAACACTGACTGTGCATTTAAAAAAAAATTCTGTTACCATATTTCAACAAGAGTAAAAGTGGTGTAGCGGGTTAAGGGGTGGTGACTTTCTCATAAAAGGCTCTTCTAGTCTTAATCTGAGAATCATGTCACATACTTACAGTAGATCAGATTAGATCAATTGTATTATCCCAGGGGGACATTTGTTTGGTCGTGTGCTTAAAATACATAATATATAAAAACACAGAATGATACACACAGCAAACAGATACTCTGCCCATGCAGAATGATTGGCAGACAAACTAACACAATTACAGATATACATCTGTGAGTATTTGTGTAAATGAAATGTACTGTATATAAACGTGTTTCAGGCATTTATGGAGCAGCAGTTCCAGTTGATAGAGGCTAAGCTACAGGAATGCAAGGACACTCATAAAGTTGAAGACTTCAAAAATGAAGTTAACTGAACAAAAATATAAACGCAACATGCAACAATTTCAAAGATTTTACTGAGTTACAGTTCATATAAGGAAATCAGTCAATTTAAATAAATTCATTAGGCCCTAATCTATGGAATACAGATACCTTAAAAAAAAAGTAAGGACATGGATCAGAAAACCAGTCAGTATCTGGTGTGACCACCATTTTCCTCATGCAGCGGGACACATCTCCTTTGCATAGAGTTGATCAGGCTGTTGATTGTAGCCTATGGAATGTTGTCCCACTCTTCAATGGCTGTTCGAAGTTGCTGGAACACGCTGTAGTACACGTCGATCCAGAGCATCCCAAATGTGCTCAATGGGTGACATGTCTGGTGAGTATGGAGGCAACGGAAGAACTGGGACATTTTCAGCTTCCAGGAATTGTGTACAGATCCTTGCGACATTGGGCCGTGCATTATCATGATGAAACATGAGGTGATGGTGGCGGATGAATGGCACGACAATGGGCCTCAGGATCTCGTCACAGTATCTCTGTGCAGTCAAATTGCCATCAATAAAATGCAATTGTGTTCGTTGTCAATAGCTTATGCCTGCCCATACCATAACCCCACCGTCACCATGGGGCACTCTGTTCAAACATTGCTCGCCCACACGACCCCACACACGTGCTCTGTGGTTTTGAGACCGGTTGGACGTACTGCCAAATTCTCTAAAACAACATTGGAGGCGGTTTATGGCAGAGAAATTAACATTCCATTTTCTGGCAACAGCTCTGGTGGACATTCCTGCAGTCAGTATGTCAATTGCAAACTTGAGATGTCTGTGGCATTGTGTTGTGTGGCAAAACTGCACATTTTAGAATGGCCTTTTATTGTCCCCAGCACAAGGTGCACCTGTGTAATGATCTTGCTGTTTAATCAGCTTCTTGATATGCCACACCTGTCAGGTGGATGGATGATCTTGGAAAATGAGAAATGCTCACTAACAGGGATGGAAACAAATTTGTGCACAATATTTGAGAAAAATAAGCTTTTTGTGCGTGTGGGAAATTTCTTGGATCTTTTATTTTCAGCTCGTGAAACATGGGACCAACACTTTACATGTTGCGTTTCTATTTTTGTTCAGTGTATATTTGCATATACTCCACTTTAATGCTTTTAGTGTTTTTGATTTCTTTTGAGATTCATAGTTTTCTTTCTCTGTGCACATAGGCAGAACTCCAATCCCATTGACTCCAGCATTAACAGTTACGGTGGTGCTGCTGTGCCTCTGGTTCATTGTCCTCTATTATGGTGAGTAGATCTGATCGTGATGCCGTCAGTCACGTCTTGAATTTTTGATACAGTATTCTTGCATCATCATGAGTCATTGCTCTCTTACCTGCCCCAAATAACATTGTCAGTCATTGACCTGCATACACTTGGATTTCGGCAAGGTGTATGTGTGAGTGTGGGTGTGTGCCTGTATGCTTAAGTGAGTGGGTGCACAAATGTGTGTGCAGCTGTGTGTAGGTGTTTGTGTCTGTCTGATGAACATTTGTCTCCATCATAGCCTATAGTTCCTCTGTGGAAAATCAGAATCTCACAGATACACTGAAGAAACGGCAGACTCTCTTCCACAATGTCTACTCCTCCATGGCAGGTGAGAAGTAATAAGGAACTTGTGTTCTTTGTGGATAATCAAGCTTTAAGATTCCGGTACTGTAGTAATAAGTAGGTAATTACATATTTATTACTTTGTGGTAATAAGAGATGTGATGTATTTATTTAAGATCACTTTATTGGTCCCGTGTAGCTCAGTTGGTAGAGCATGGCGCTTGCAACGACAGGGTTGTGGGTTCGATTCCTACGGGGGGCCAGTATGAAAAAAATATATGTATGCACTCACTAACTGTAAGTCGCTCTGGATAAGAGCGTCTGCTAAATGACAAAAATGTAAATGTAAAATGGTCAATTGCACACAAGGTCCAACCCGAAATTCGACTTCTGCTTTTAACCCAACCCCTCCGAAAGACACACATACAGATTTTTTGGGAGAGGTGAGGGGGGCTGCCACACTGGGCACCCAGGGAGCTGTTGTTGTGGGGGGTTAAGTGCCTTGCTCAAGGGCACAATGACATCTAGGATTTGATACCAGCAACCCTCAGGTTGCCAAGCTCACTTCCCACCAAATTGTTCCTGTCAGTCCCAGGATTCGAACTGGCAACCCTCCGGTTGCAGGCTCACCTCTCTAACAACTAGGCTACCTGCCACATTACTGTATGGTAATAAGAGGTGATGTATTTGTTTACAGAATTCATGGTTGAAAATCCACCATAGGGCCACAGAAATGCAGACATCAGAGGAGCCCAACGTAAGCAGTGATACAATAGGTCTCTCGTGTGTGTGCGTCCGTCTGTCCGTCCATCACTGATCTGATATTTGTGAATGTGTGTGTGTCACTGATCTGTGTCCATTTGTCTTTCTTAGGTGCCTTGACTCCCAGTGCTACTCCTCTGGGAGACATTACTGGGAGGTGGAGGCCGTGGGCTACTGGGACATCGTTGTGTCCTACCAGAGCATTAAACGCAAGGGGACTGAGGGCCCCGCTTTTGGCCTCAACAAGGAATCCTGGAGCATCAAACACAAGGGCAATCTGTTTGCCTACCACAACAAGATGAAGAGGGAGATCGCCAATTCCTTGAAGGGCAACAGAGTGGTAGTTGTGGTAGACTTTGGTAGGGAACCATCACTTTTTCTGGAGTGGGTATGAAACTGACCCAGCTACACCAGTTCAAGGCTCAGCTCAGTCAGAATGTGCCTGGGATTCAGCCTCTAGATCCTCCTAGTAATCACAATTATAGAGACCCGGTAGTGGTCCTACTTTAGCCCTGTTTCCACCTGGTGCTAACATTTGCCCTTTGTCCTGATCTTGCCCACATTCTGATTGTGGCCACATTTTTAGAGCTTACTGACCACCTCCAGAGGTAGTCAAGGACCCATTGTGTCTGGATATCAATCAAGTGTAAACATATCTGGATTGTCAAACCATTTAAATCATCATTAGCCTTTAAAATCTTTGGCAGGAAGCACCATAGACTAACGCAGTGTTTCCCAAACTCAGTCCTGGTGACCCCAAGTGGTGAACATTTGGGGTTTTGCCGTAGCACTACATAGCTGATTCAAATAATAAAAACTTGATGAGTTGATTATTTGAATCAGCTGTGTAATGTTAGGGCAAAAAGCAAATTGTGCACCCCTTGCGGTCCCCAGGACTGAGTTTGGGAAGCGCTGGACTAATGGCATAAGTAATTGTCTTAAAAGAAATGCATATTATTTTGAAAGAATATCTGTCAAATATTTTGCATACAGGGAGGCACCAGCTAATCTGGTCACAATGCAGACAGTGTAAGGATAAGAGACAAGTTTTATTCCAATGTGTACAAGCAACAAACCTTGATCAGATCACAGAACACATGTTAGTGCAAGGCGTAAATGAGGTTTATGTCACACACTATTCACCAAGCACTGAACCAATGCTTGGTGTATTATCTCAGCTGAACCAAAGAATGTGCAATTCCATTGTCTCAGGTTTCTTTTATATTCAAATAATGTTGACATGATTCTATTGCATTTTGATGAAAGAAATGTTTTGTCTATCAAATTGTGTAATAATTTAACTATTGCTTATTGTAAATGATGTATTAAGGAAATGCATTACACAGTGAGAGGCTCAGAGATTACTTACTGAAATGCTGTCTCCCCCTACTGTTGGTCTGTCTGATTTCATTCAACCATCCCCTTTAGCACTGAAACACACTATTCACCGCTACTCACAATAAATGAGACCAAAGTTTGAGCTCCTTATCTTCATTGCTCTTTTATTTAAAAAGCGGATGACAAATTCACCTTGATTTCTGCAGTCGTTTACTCACACCGGACACAGTGAACATTTCCTTGACAGTAATGTAAAGTAAGAGTATTGGCCCTAGAGGCCACTAAACTAAATGTAAAAAGAAAACAAGAGCGTTGCATGATACATAACTTTCTAATATCACATATTTTCAGTTTCACACACATTTTTGTTTTGTGTTTTCCTGATTCTGTTTCTCTAAAAAGAAGAGACGCTGACAAATGTTTTTCAAGGACCTAAAGCCAACTGACAAAAAATAGATGTGTATCAAATATATATTTATCCAAATAGTTAAGAATGAAGATGGCACACCTTTTATGAAGCTTTTGGCTGCCATGGATCACAAAAAATCTTGTATATTTAACTTTTCTTTCTGTCAAAACTGATTTCAAAGAACGTGTCAAATGGAGCTTAGTCACAACTAGTGGCACTATAATGTACCCTCTGGAATAGAACCCTCTCCAATCCCACTATGATTTCAGGTCCCTTCATATTGGGTACTTCCTCTTCTAACACAATCAGTGTGAATAGACCTGTTAAAAGGTATGCACGTCCAAACAATAAAACATAAAAACATTTTATCCTCTCAAGTTATCATCTCGGCCACTGTCTCCACTGTTCGTGAATTTGTAAATGAATCCCATGTGTTATGTTGATAAAGTCTTTCCAATGGATCACTTTGTGGTACACCGCGCACTTTTCTTTTCTCCAGTTGCTCTCCTCTCCTCCGAACTGCATCTCTTCCTCTCACCACAATCAGTCTGCCTTAGGCCTGTTATCACCCCTGACCCAACAAGACACATTCACCCCTTGTCTGGGTAATCCTGGTCTTTACTTGACAACCATGGTGTTCTGATTCCTGATGGAGCACCAGGCCATGAAGATATCCCTGAAGGAGAGAAAGGGGAAAAGGGAGAAAGAGACAAGCGTGAGTGCATAAATGTTTTCATACTGGTACCCCGTGGGAATCGAACACACAACCCTGGCGTTGCAAGCACCATGCTCTACCAACTGAGCTACACAGGACTACGGAATTAACATAATCAATAATGTTCCCTTTTCTACTCCAACACAACTTTCACTTAAATGTCCCAAAAACAACAACTTTCTTCACAGAAATAAAGGAACAAATACATTTATATCCAAATCCACACACCTGCAATGAGTGGCGACACATTCATTGCTGCAGTACTCCTTGTCCCAGTCCGTGCTCTCTATTGCAGGATTGGTGCATCCTGCGCGTACACACAGAGTCAGAGAGCCAGTAGCTGCATCCGTGGCACCTGGAGACACATTCAATTCCATTTCCATCTGAAGAAAAATAGGGAAAAGTTGATGATTAAAACACCAAGCATATTTAACATGCACATTGGGTCAATTTACAAAGAAAAACCTCAGCCTACCTCTCCTGACGTGAACTCTTCCGTGACCGCATCCTCATCTGCACTGGCCGTCAAGTCAGTGGACTTTGCCAATTGCAGAGCCACTGTAGGGGTTGAGTAAGCCAATGTAGGTACAGTGGAATTGGTGACACCAATTGAGTTGGCGGTTGCTGTTGTTGTAACAATAATGGGCAAGGATTCGTCTGCTTGCAAAGAAGCCGGGACTATCTTGATCTGTAGTGGAGGGGGAGGTGTCGCGGTGATGGACACAGGAAGCCCAGGTCCAGCACTTCCTCTGGGCTTGGCCTGGAGGGGAGGCGGGGCTGGGGAGTGTACCATATGCTGGAGCCGCGGGGGAGGAGGGGCATGTTGCATCTGCTGCAGAGGTGGGGGCTGGCGAGGGGCCGAGGGCAGCAGGGTGCGCACACCGCCAGGGAGCACAGTCACCATGGAGGTGGGGATCTGGTGGAGCTGAGCCCCGGCCTGGAGTATCTGTTTGGAGATGATGATCTTGGTGATGGTGGGGGTCAGGGTCGGGGTGGCTGTGGTGGGGCCCAGGGTGGGGGGCTTGTGAGCCCCTGTGCGGGAGCGTGTGGTGACCTGGGGGACGTCCAGAATGATGTTGGAGGCGCAGATGTTGGTGATGGTATTCTGGTCAGGGTTGTGCTGGGGGAGGCGGGAGGGGCGGGCGGGAGCCAGGAGGGTCACATGCACTGGCTCAGGCACTGGAGGTGGTGGTGAAGAGGCCGTGTCCATCACTTCAATGGAGGGCTAGAGAGAACCCAGGGAAGGGAAAAAATAAATATACTTTTTTTACAATTACAAAAATGTAAACTAATCGATGGGATAAGAGTATATTAAATCGATTGAGAAATGACAACAACAAAAATGTGCGATAAGTACAGCTTCTAGACATTTACAGTATAACATTGTCATGGCTACAGTCACGATTTCTAAGCAAAGACAGGCCTAGAGATTTTACCTGTGAGAGCTGATTGGCTCTGTAAGCTGCTAATGCCTTCAAGTACTCCTTTTTCGCTGCTTCTGTCTTTCTCTTATAGACCTAATAGTGACAGAGGGTAGAATTATGTAGATGAGGACATGAGTAAACTCTAATACTTTTTTTTATTTGTTTATTACATGAATTACAGTATATCATTTTATCCACAAATGTCCTTCAACTGTTCTAAATGTACCGTAAAACTTCAATGAAAGTCTCAAATAGCCACCTGTCCCTTTTAATAGCCTGGCGTCAGCACACATTTCAGCAAATAAACACCTCTTTCAAATAAACGCCGGGTCTAAATGAATTGTTTACGAGTGAACTTCAGTGTGTAACGTAAAGATTGCGCAAAATAAGATAAAGGTCTGCCATCATTGCCATGGATCAGACAGCTGTGTGGTTTGACATGCTCGGCTCAACTACGGGGGATACAAGGCGCAACGAGGCACAACGGGAAAGAGAATCGTGATTAAGTCTTTGCAAGTCTGATCGGCGATGGATTTACATTTACATTTTAGTCATTTAGCAGACGCTCTTATCCAGAGCGACTTACAGTTAGTGAATACATATGTTTATTTTTTTTCATACTGGTCCCCCGTGGGAATCGAACCCACAACCCTGGCGTTGCAAACGCCATGCTCTATCAACTGAGCTACATCCCTGCCGGCCATTCCCTCCCCTACCCTGGACAACGCTAGGCCAATTGTGCGCTGCCCATGAGTCTCCCGGTCGCGGCCGGCTGCGACAGAGCCTGGATTCGAACCAGGATCTCTAGTGGCACAGCTAGCACTGCAATGCAGTGCCTTAGACCACTGCGCCACTCAGGAGACTAGATTTGTTATTATAATGGTCATACTGGTAACAAACAGTTTGGTAGTATTAAACTTATTTTTGTTGCTAAAGCTGTGTGCGTTAAGGAAATAGACGCCGACTCTAATAAGCGCCGGTTGTGTTCAGTGATTGAAGCAAATAAATTATTGAGCTATTAATTGAAGTTTTACGGTATGTCTTTTACTAAAAGTGTGTGTATTGTGTACCTGTTTCTGCTCTTCCCCAAGGCTGTCCCACATGGAGGCTACGATCTTGGACACCTCTCCAAATGTGGCGTTGGGGTTCTGGCCCTTGATGGCAGCCTGGGTGTCCCTGAAGAACAGGGCGTAGGCAGAGACGGGTTTCTGGGGCTCGTTGGGATCTTTCTTCTTCTTCCCCTTCTTCCCTCCTCCAGGCCCTGCTGTAGCGGCCACCATAGCTGGCTTGCCTCCGCCTCGCCTCACCAACGCAGGGGAGATGGAGGAGGAGAGCATGGGGGCAGAGCCCGGCATGGTGGAGAGGTGGGAGAGTATTGCAGGGGAGACAGACAGGGACATTGGAGAGTCAACCAGCACACTCTTCTGGGTGACAGTGGGACCAGTGGACAGAGAGAGAGGGAAAGATACAAGGCCAGATCAGTTGACTTAGCAAGACTTCAACAAGACAAACAAACCAACAACAAGTCCTACACATATAAACAAACATACAAACAGACACTCACCCTGAGGTCATCCATGTCATCATCCTGGAGGGAGCCCGCTAGAGAAGGCGTGGGAGACAGCTGGTCAGGGGACTTGGAACGGGACAGAATGTTCCCGCCATGAAGACCAAGCCCAAGCTGGGCACTCAACTCTGATTGGTCAATAGTAGTTAGCTGATTGTGTCCCAATAGGCCATGATTCATGTCACCAAGTGGGACATCAATGGTCATTGGAGAGGAGCTGCTGAAATGGGAGCCAATGGAGTGGCCAAGTTCCTAGAGAGACAAGGACAGGAGTTTTTACAAGTCTTAACAAAGCATTACAATTTGAGAAAAACACATTCTTGATGCACAAAGTATTCTAGTAGTATTCATAAGTACACCACTTACCACCCCCAGTGTTGAGCTAAGCAGGGCCCCCCCTCCAGGCTGGCTCATCACCCTCAGACTCAGGTGCTCCAAGCCCTGAGAGTTTGGGTTCACATAGGTGGAGGCAAAGGAGGGGTCATTGCCCCCCACCACAGCACTCCTCACCAGGCTTCCAGCCCCGGAAGGACCCCCTGCTCCCCCTGATAGTTCGCCATAATGGGACACCACGTCCCCCACACTGAGGGCCGAGTCCGGGTCCAGGGAGATGGGAGGGATCTCAAACACCTCATCACCAAGACTGGGTGTATGGAATGTCTGCTAAACAGAGAGAAGGAGAAGGACAACTGTTAATGGGACAGATAGATTACATGAACATTTTAGGCACTGCATTGTGGAAGGTGTGCAGGCTTCGAGGATCATGACACCCACCTCAGAGGAGAGAAAAGGATGACCTGCCCCAGAGATGGTAAGGTAAGTATCACTGCCTCCTGGAAACTGCAAAACACACAACATAGTATTCACACGACATGAAAAAACTATCTTTCCCCTTGTTTAGAAGTAGGCCCCATACCTTGTTAACTGGGTCGTATCCATTATAACCCTGTGCTTCCAAGAACTCCTGGTCGATATTCTGACTGGTGCCATCAGAGAGGTCAGAGTAAAAATTAAGATCCATCGTGACAGACTAATCTAAATTGTGTGATTTAACAATTTATCAACCAAGAGTGGTGAGCTCTTTGTAATGCAGTCTCCTAGCCACTGAGCTATAATAAGAACTCCAAGCTAGCTAGAGAGCACCATCATGCCAGACGAGACGAATCAATCGCCTCACTTCTTCAACTGGTGTGCTAGCTAGCTAACCGCTAGCTGTACATAAATATATGTAAGCTGACAAATGTTAGCTAGGTAACTTCGATTTACAAAATTACATTGCAAGTAAAGGATTTGTTCAGCATTTTCAGATAGCTAACGTTAAGTAATTTATATTCAGTTAATCAAAGACTCAATTTGCTAACTAGCTAGCCAACAATGCTAATGCTAGCTTCCAGTGAAGGCAAGCATTCCAATTTAGCTCACGTTTGCTGTTATTTTTTTATAGTAATTATGGGAACAATCTTGGTTCCCCATAAGAACCTAAATGTGCCCGTAAGATATTTAGCTAGCTAGCTAGCTATAAGGCAATGTGTCAAAATCACGTTGCTAGGGTTCATTCGGTCCCTACTCAGAAAACTCGACCACTAATGTTAGGCAGATATATCAGAGAAAGGCGGAGATAGGAATCCCATTGGTCAATTAACGGAAGAACGTATAACGCATCACCCAGCAGACTGTGGACCAATCGCGTTCACGTTGTGCGTCAACATGGTTGCTAAACTAATCGTCACGCAACCGCTTCTCAAAGTCAGGGTAATTCGAGAAACCTGCCTATTTTCCTCGAAAGTACGTAATGTTACGATTTCAAAGCTATACGAGAATACGTTAATGATATTATATATCGGGAAATATTTGTAATGTTCTACTTCTTGTTGACGAAATTATTGCTAATGTTGTGTTTTTGAGCTAGCGCCCAATTGACTGCCATTCACTCGCTCTTCTTGTTCCAGAATGCACCGCGCGGAGATTTCCCATCTCCTCAAAAGTATCTCTGTCTTAGGTCTCGACGCTCTGTGATCGAAAAGCCTGTTTAATCGAGTAAGCACAATCGACCGCATAACCAGGTCTAGATAGCAGGCAGGATTATCTCATTAAATAGTTTGATGAAAATATCGCTGAAAGGTCTCTATCATCAAATATCATCTTACTAGACAACATCAAAATATAACTCTGCTCAGACCTATCCCAAATGTCTAGGAAGTTGGGATATAGGTCCATTTGGAATTATGTCCCCATTTTCCTAGGAGACGAGTGTACACTCCCCCTCGTGGATTGTTAAGGAATGGACTGGTGTGAGAATAGTGGAAACTGGAAACCACCTCCATTCCAATCCAACGCTTGTTATGGTGGAGCACATAAGAGACTGAATAGGTTTCGAAAAGGTTTTGCAACAGAATCGGCGTAATGAATACACCCTTGTTTACAGGGAGGATATAACTACTGTACTTATCTACAAGTTAGCTAAATATTGTCATAGTAAAAACGTGGTGTGATAAAAGCTGTGGTAGTTGTTTATCAGCTTTACAAATGACAACCAGCATGATGGTCGTGTCAAAATGACTGTTGGGGAAGTTTTCGTTAACAAGCTAGCTGGCGTGGCTAATTCTTAGCATAGACAGAAAGCTATTAAAAGTGGAAAGATGGTACAAAATATCAGTAGACTTAATCATACTCCATCTTCAATATTGTTTCAAACAAATTCCCACGCTTCTTATCCTCTCTCTTACCTCCATCCTCGCACTACATCGGTGCACTGCTTTTCTAATTGTTTTAGTTGATACACTTGGTTTCCGGGTTTCCTTGATTCTGGGAAATGACGTCACTCAGATTCCGTTTACATTTTAGTCATTTAGCAGACGCTCTTATCCAGAGCGACTTACAGTTAGTGAATACATATTTTTTTATACTGCCCCCCGTGGGAATCGAACCCACAACCCTGGCGTTGCAAACGCCATGCTCTATCAACTGAGCTACATCCCTGCCGGCCATTCCCTCCCCTACCCTGGGCCAATTGTGCGCCGCCCATGAGTCTCCCGGTCGCGGCCGGCTGCGACAGAGCCTGGTTTATCATCGTCGGTAACAATGTATTTGATAACAAAACATGCCATAATAATGCTATTTACAACAGGCACATACCTACTCAAATTAAGTAAAATAGAACAGTAAAGGCTTGTTTAACAAAAACATGCTTTATTCACTATTTTCATTGTCATCTTGAAGAAAACGAGTTGCCTAAACAGATTCAAAGTAAACCAAAAATTGGCCAACAGATGGTCAAATCAGATGAAGTTTGATCACATAATTTAATATAACTGAAATAGGTGCGTGAGTATTCAGTAGTGAGCTAATACATAAGAGTATTTGAGCACAGGTCTTGGAGGCCGAAGTGTATCAGTGTCACTCGGTACCGCGAAAAATTGTCGGGGGGCACCGGGCCGGATGGGCCGAGCTGGTGGGCTGGCCCGCGAGGTCCACCTTCTGAGAAGGAGAGATAGTGGGTTTGTTATACAGCCATATGGAATGAAAACCAGTATTATGCAATCAATGCCAGTCGAGTGTAATTAGACCATTCACATCCAGGGAAATACGTTTTACAACAAAATAATAATAATGCTGACCTTCAGCGTGTATACCCCTCTCCATTTTCGTTGAGATAGAATTGAAGGAACATGGCAGCGAACTCACGCAAAATACCTCTAAAAGTTTGATTGGTGCTTGCAATGCAGAAGAAAATGCACTCCAATATAGGCACCAGATAAGGTACGCCAGATTCAACCCTTCGCTTTAGACTGCTTTCCGGTGACCACGTATAAATGTACATTGATTGTGACCAACAACACGCTTGTTTATGCCAGAACACCTTTCCACTTGACGGATATCGGGTATACACTGTTCGTGTCCACTGGAAAACGCTTGCGACTAGAGGGAGTAGGTTAGGAGAACATTTTAGCCATCCCTAATCCTAACCCTTTTCCTAACCTTAACCGAAGTCTCATAACCTGCCACCTTAATTATCCTAACCTGCTGCTTAAATTCTCCTAACCTGCTATGACAAAGTGACAGTCATAACTGTACTCTAGTCAGAACCCTGAAAAACAGTGACCTATGGCAATGGTTTGCGCCTTCATAAACGTGGGATTTGCCCAAATATACATCAGAATACATAAAACATCTTAATTCAATCCCTTTTAAAACTCAGTGGATTGTAAGTGAACGGGGAAAATGGCTGAAAAAGCTGCTTTTTCTTGACAGCGTGTGTTCAGCTATTTCACACAAGTACACAAGGACAAGAGGACTTCGCTGCTTTCACTGTAGATTGTTGTTATTCATATCACAGATACATTCAGGTCATAAAACAAGAATATTAACTCATCGTGGTCATCTTTGCACCATAGCACACAACTGACCAGTTCTACATTGTACAATACACCCATCTTCCTAGCACTGGATCAGTAACTTTTATACCGGTACCCCCCCCCCACCAGAAACATTTACATCCACACATTGGACCCCTTCTTGTTCACTGACTCAACAGGGCGCAGAAATGACCTATGACATCAGACTCAGGCATCAAGGGAGCAAAGTTCTGGTCTGCTCAGTACGTGTGTCCGCTCGTCCAGTTATATTGGAGGACTAGCTTGGAGGTTTTTGGATCAAAGGTCTTCTTCACAGCAAGGCTCCCCTTAAAGCTGAGACTGGGAATGGAATGGGTTTGAGGGAGAAGGAGAGCAGTGGGTTGAGAAACACAGAGTTGGGCATAGAGTCACTTTGTGGGGGTAGAGGGTGCCAAGGGGATGGTCATGGAGGGAGGGGGAATATCATGAATGAAGGGAATGGAAAGAGTTGGGTGCAGACCTGGTCCTTTCCAAAAATCTACATAAACCAAGTGAGTAAAAAGAAGAACAAAAACCAAATTCATCCATAATTCGATATATATATATATATATATATATATATATATATATATATATATATATATATATATATATATATATATATATATATAATGATAAAAATAAACGATGACGAATAACATGAAAGGGAAAATAACATGATTATTCTGGGACTATATCAGACAAAATGGGTTTGGTCAATCCTCTGAGCTGGAGGAAGAGTCTGAGTCCTTCTGAGCCATGATGACGTCATCCAAAAGGGCCTCTCTGTCAGAACTCTGGTATCCACCTTGTGACAAGCTATCGCCGCCTTCCATCTTAACATCAAAAGCTTGAGTCAGGAAAGTGGAATCCTCCAAGTCTTCGTCCTCCATCATGTAGGCCCCGTCTGAGACCAGGGTCTCTTCTTCACCTCCGCCCAGGAGTGGATCCTCCAGCGGGGCAGGCTGGGGAGAGAGGTGGTGGTGGCGGCGGACTCTCTTGGGGATGACAGAGCGTGCGGAGAGGAGCCGGTGGAAGAGGCTGTCTGGCAGAAAGCCCTGGAAGGACAAGATGGAGTGAACCAGGATCAGTTTTGGGGAATATTTTACAATCTGAAGCAGAACCGATTCATTGACGTGTGCTGTAAATAAGTTAATAAGGGTACTCACAGAGCTCCGGACCGTCTCAGCCCATTCTGGTGCTACTGCGCAGTCAGGATTCTCCTCCAGAAACTCCCTCAGATCCTGCAGCATAGGTCCATACGCAGCCCCAACCTGAGTAAAAAGGAAAGAAAATCCACACTTAAGCAATCAACATCCACAAATAAATACATACATATTTGACAGAGGAACCCCATGCACCCATGTAATTCATCCTTTGCCATTTCTCACCTTCTTTCCTGTCCTCATATCAATGATCTTAACCTTCTCACTGCCCGACAGCGCTGCGGCCTTCTCAATCCTCTTCTTCCTCCTCCTCTTCCTCCGGTTCACAAGGAGCTGGGGGGGGGGGGGGACAGAGTCACTAGAGCCGCCATTGTAAATCTCGAATGATCCTGAATTTCTCACAAAGTGCAGTACTTCTGGCCAGAGCCTCAATTGAGACTTAGGCAGAGACCGACATGGACATAATCTTCCAGGTAAATGTACCTCCAACATGTCTCCCTCCACCTCATAGTCTGGGTTCTCTTTCAGCCAGTTGGGCAGGTCCCTGCGGCGAGGGGCCCGCTCCCCACTCAGCACTGTGCCCGTCATGGCATCGACCACCGGGACCGCTCCGTCTGGATCTGACAACTAGGTGGAAGAGAGTGAATGAGGCAAGATAAATACAAACATTACATGAATGTTTGAGTATGTAGATTTCAGAGTTTGTTTAGTCAGTTTTTGCGAGTTTGTTTCGTCTGCACATCTGTATACTTCCTATTGTCTACTGTTCTCAGACAATATCTGTGCATGTCTTGTGTATTATGAGCAGTCTTAACCTCTGACTGTATGAGAATGTGCACTAGTATTGTATATATGTGTACTTCTTGGTCCCTACGCTTCCTGCGTCCGCTCCCCTCTCCCCCTGACCCATTGGACATCAAGGCATGCTTAGAGAAGGTCAGCTTCAGCCCCTCCTCCTAAGAAAGTAGGACAGTAAAAAAAAGGGGGATGGAGAAAGAGGACAGACAATTTAGTCATCCCATCTGTACCTCAGTCAACCAAGCTTTATCCCGATGTACTTCAATGACTTAATAAGCTGAATCAGGTGTTATTACTGGGCTAGAACAAAAGCCTGCACACCCTGTGGGTCCCCAGCACCAGAATTGATTCAACTTTAATGTGTTCCTCTCATCTCACCTTCAGGAGTTTGACGGTGAACTCTGATTCCTGTTCATCTGTTCCTTCTCCACCGGGCGTGCTGTTGCCTTTCCGCATGAGCCGTGCAAAGCTGAGCTCATCCCCTGCCCCTAGGTCGTCAGATCCCGGGTTGAGCTGGGCGTCAGAGGCGTAGCGCCGCCCTGTTGGCCACTTCCCAGACAGCACCAGGGTACAGAGGCTGTCCAGACGGTTTATCAACACACGGTCCTGAGGGAGAAACCAGCCAATCACTCCAACGCAACAACCCCTTCTACTGTACAGTTTATATTCAACTTCCCATTAATACTGTATTTGAAGTACTAACGTGCAAGCAACCAGATCATCCACACTCTATAGTTGCAGACAGTACATGTCCCCCACATACCTTGGGCCAATCAACCCTGAAGGGGTCGGTGAGGGACTCTGGTGGAGCGCCATCTTGAGATGGGGTCATTGAGAGTAAGCTGTTCTCCCCATCTTCCTCCATCTTTAGAGCAGCTGAAAACAGAACAAAAAACCCCATCAATGTGTGTTCAACCCCTTGTCTTAACTCAATCCTCACACACTTCTATATCACTCACCCCTCTCAGTCATCACTCACCCCTCTCCGTGTCACTGTCACCACTGTCGTCAGAGCTGCCTGATCGCTGGGAGGAGGTAGATGAGCCGGAATCAGAGTCGGAATCGGAATCTGACATCCCTCCTACACTTCTTTCTCCTTTACTTCCTCCACTTCTCGGCCCTCTCCCCCTGCTCTTCTTCCATCCCAAGCCGGTCCGGGCTCGGCCCTTCCCATCGGGGCGGGAGAGGGGTGTGGTCTGAGTATCTGAGTGGCCGAGAGCCTCAGAGGTTCCAAGGATGCGGGACTCCTTGTCCAGCCCCTCGTCTTCTTTGACGGCTGAGCCCTCCTCTGCCTGTGGTTGGCGGAGGGGAGTGGCGGGGGTGGGCTGGTTCTGCTGGTTCTCGAGGTAGTCGTGGCGGGCCTGGCTGAATGAGAACTGCGGGTCGAGGAAGACCGAGAGCTCAGTGCGGCTGACGCCGTGGAGGGCGGAACCCAGCATGAGTTCCCGGTCGTGGGCTGGAGTGCTCCACCAGGCAGGCAGCTCGGAGCTGGGCGGTGCCAGCAGCAGGAGCTCCTCCAGGGAGGGGTGAGGCAGGACGTGCTCACGGAGACGGCGCAGCAGGCTGATGCGGTACAGGGTGCGAGAGGCCCGCTCCTCAGTGATGGGGGCCAGAGACTGGCCTAGCTCTGAAGGGTCTGGGGAGGGAGAGAGGGGTTAGGGATATGTCTCTCTTCAGATCTACCGAAATATTAAACACCATGCTTTAAAATACACTGAACAAAAATATAAAACGCAACATGCAATAATTTCAAAGGCTTGACTGAGTTACAGTTCATATAAGGAAATCAGTCAATTGAAATCAATTCATTAGGCCCTAATATATAGAATTCACATGACTGGGAATATAGATATGCATCTGTTGGTCACAGATACCTTTAAAAAAAGTAGGGGGCATGGATCAGAAAACCAGTCAGTATCTGGTGTGACCACCATTTGCCTCATTCAGCGTGACATCTCCGTCACAGAGTTGATCAGGCTGTTGATTGTAGCCTGTGGAATGTTGTCCCACTTAGGGATGTGGCGGTCATGACATTTGGTCAGCCGGTGATTGTCAAGCAAATAACTGCCGGTCTCACGGTAATTGACCGTTAATTAACAAACACATTAAGCCTCTCCTGGCTTCCATGCATAGCCTGCAAGCCACTGATGCAGACCTTTGGAAAATCTACATTTTAAGAAGTCTAATACATCCATGTAATATAGACTACACCTTCACAATAAATCCATTATTTATTTTAGAAAGGTCTAAAGAAACATGATCTGAAGAAAATGTAATCTATTTCAGAAAAACAGAATAGCATACTCTGAGTTGTCCTTATGTTAGGCCCTGATCTGGCTATGCCATATGGCTGTAGGCTACACTAGTTCATTTAGCAGACAAGATTTGCTTAGAATTCCGTGGCATTATTTTATAGCATGAAAATCAAATAAAAAATGATATTTTCTCCAAATGATTTGAGGGAGTGGGCACATGCAGCTATTCCGTGTTGAACGGTTAACATAGAAACAGGTCCTCCTATTATGCTTAATTTAGAGTTATTTATGCAACTTTAGTTGTGATACAAATGTTGGGTTATATGTTTAGATTTTTAATACATTCTAAGGCTGCATGAAGCGACTAAAAGTTGCATGAAAGGCATGAGCTCTGCTTAGTTTTTTTGCTCGGGCTACACACACTTCATCAGTCTCTCATTCACAATTTGACAAGCACTTGATACTGCTACAAGTGAAGACAGACATCGGGGACACACCTGTGTGCGTCCTTATCCAATTCCGAGGCGCATATTTAAGATATTGGAAGAACTGTCCACATTTACTTTTCGTCAGCCAACAAGATGAGCACTAGCCTATGTCAATCTACTATCCCCCATAGTACAAAAGTCAACCTATTCTATTCTGTGCGATAAATAAATATTCCAAACATAGTCTGGGACAATTGTGGGATGCGATAGATCCCAAATTAAAACAACCACTAGCATCAAAAAAACATTATTACGCAATGAGGCTGATGCAACAGATCAGAACATTTAGCTTAAAATGTTGATAAACTATTAGGCTATTTCTTCACATTATAAGCGCAGCAATGCATACACGGCAGTAGGCTATAAGCACAAAGGTTCCAAAATGCAATGAATTAGCTGGAAAACACCATTCTCAAAAGTGACCGCAAATGCGATTATGCATGTAATGCTTTTATTATAAAAGGTGCATTTTTATGTTGAAAATTATCTTCCCCAAACTTGACACTCATGCGCTGTGTATGTATGCCAGTTAGGCGCTACACCCCTTGTAAAGCGGATTAATGTGCTTAATTTTAAGAAGTTATTTGGCCACTTTAGTTGTGATACAAACCTTATCAAAACATATAGGCCTATGGGCTAGACTATGATTTGAAAAAGTCACAAAAAAAGGCATGCGTTGTTTCTTGCCTTACATTATTGTCTTTTTTTTTACATTTTAGTCATTTAGCAGACGCTCTTATCCAGAGCGACTTACAGTTAGTGAGTGTATACATTTTCATACTGGCCCCCCGTGGGAAACGAACCCACAACCCTGGCGTTGCAAGCGCCATGCTATACCAACTGGTCTGGTTAGTATGCAGGCCATGGAAGAACTGGAACATTTTCAGCTTCCAGGAATTGTGTACAGATCCTTGCAACATTGGGCCATGCATTATCATTCTGAAACATGAGGTGATGGCGGTGGATGAATGGCACGACAATGAGCCTCAGGATCTCGTCACGGTATCTGTGTACATTCAAATTGCCATCGATAAAATGCAATTGTGTTCGTTGTCCGTAGCTTATGCCTGCCCATACCATAACCCCACCCCTGTCCACAACGTTGACATTAGCAAATCGCTCGCCCACACGACGCCATACACGCTGTCTGCCCTCTGCCCGGTACAGTTGAAACCAGGATTAATCCGTGAAGAGCACACTTCTCCAGCGTGCCAGTGGCCATAGAGGGTGAGCATTTGCCCACTGAAGTCAGTAACGACGCCAAACTGCAGTCGGGTCAAGACACTAGCGAGGATGACAAGCACGCAGATGAGCTTCCCTGAGATGGTTTCTTACAGTTGGTGCAGAAATTATTCGGTTGTGCAAACCCGGTTTCAACAGCTGTCCTGGTGGCTGGCAATTGTATGTTCCCTCAAAATCAGTGGCATTGTGTTGTTTGACAAAGCTGCACATTTTAGAGTGGCCTTATATTGTCCCCAGCACAAGGTGCACCTGTGTAATGATCATGCTGTTTAATCAGGTTCTTGATATGCCACACCTGTCAGGTGGATGGATTATCTTGACAAAAGAGAAATGCTCACTAACAGGAATGTAAACACATTTGTGCACAAAATGTAAGAGAAATAACCTTTTTGTGAGTATTGGAAAATTTCTGGGATCTTTTATTTCAGCTCATGAAACCAACACTTTACATGTTGTGTTCATATTTTTGTTCTGTGTATTTGACTGCTTTAAAAAGGTAGACTTAGCGATATGACGTAGATGCAGAAAGTAAACAGCACAGTGGGTCAATTTCCGCAACAACTAAGAGCATTGAAGCGCGAGGCTCAGCTTCTCCGCTGTTTTGGTCCCGTGGCTACAATGCTGTACAGCGTGAAGCGAAGCCGTGCACAGATACTGTGTGTGACTGTGTGAGAGCGAAGTCTTGCATCTCGCACATCTCAATATCTGCGGTGCGGCTCGTGGCAACGTAATTTTGCGGAGTCTACCTTTAAGTGATTACACACTTCAATATCTTGAGTGTAATAACATTTGATGTAGTTCTCACCTTCTCCGCGGGTGGGGCGCAGGTTGCACACCCGCCGGCACATGGCCATGAAGCAGCGGAAGTAGCGGCTCAGACTCTCGTCAGTCTTCTTTTCTAGACGGGCAAATGTCCGGAAGCGGGCCCATTCCAGTTCAGCCTCCTCCCCCTCTGGGGCGTCTGCCTCCTTCTTTATCCGCTCCACACCGAACGTGGACACCACACGGTAGAAGTCACACTCCTCTCTACGGGTCCACCTAGCAAGGAGACACAAAAGACAGATGCTTAAAGTAGTAAAACACTAAAAACTCACTCCCAATCTTATACCAGAATTATGTACGGTTAGGGACAGTTTGAAATTCACATGACCCTCCCTTTGTACAGCGAAAACATTTTTTGCTCATCCCCCCTCATAAAAATGAACTTAAAAAATAATATTACCATCACAAATATCAATAACTGTAGCAACCCTGTGTTTCTAAATGTGGATATCGACTTGACCATTTCAGCATGGTTTTATGGCACAGCCGATGCCACGCAGGGCTACGGGCCAGAAGGTTGAGGGTTCGCAGACCACTACGGACGAACTCAATCTCCCTGCCGGTTTCATTACACTACGATCAAATAATGATAATACTAAACAACGCGTGATAATACTAAACAACCTTTGTAGAACACCTTGCGACCTCACCAAGAGATTTTAGCCTTTTGGTATTCCCATTTCTGAGACCAATGTAGTAAACGGCAGGACAAGGAAGTGAAACCGGGTCACTGGCGTGAAAGGCAAACACCCTATGCATCGTGCCAATAGGGTTAACCCACTTGGTAGGAACTGTATCATGGCTCATATAGCAAGGATTGTGACGGTTGAAAGCACCATTGAAAGCATGTCCCAGCAGAGTTTTAGTCACAGTACATTTGTGTTAGGCTAGCAGTGTTTCTGTATGCAAAACAAATGTGCACCCGATTGATACAAATCATCATATTATTCTGCCAGGTAGGCCTACTTCGCAGTCAACATTTAATTGGGAAGGTTTTTGGGGAAAATCGTTGAAAATGACTTTCACCATGCATCGATGATTTTATAGAGCCGATAAGCTATAGCCATCTTACCTTTAGAAGTCTACTTCAGGCTGACTACTAGCATCTATTGAGTTGCAATGTCCCATAAATTGAATGTCCAAATCAACTTTAAGTATCTACAAAATCCGTTAGACAGTAAATTACATTTGTTTAGCCTTAACAAGATGAATAGGAGACCTTTGAGCTGCGTGTCACGTCTTGACTGTTCTTTCATGCACAATGGCCTCTACTGCCCATCAGCTTTTTATATCGAAAATTGGTGCAGATTTGAATGATTTTATGTGTGATGTGATTGCTAGTTAACCTATTGCAGATTTGGACAAACGATCCACCGACCACTAATAGAAGGCAGAATAGAGTTGACTGTATAGTAAGCATGCAGAAAAGTGTACTACATAAGGGATGTACCAAAACATGCAAGCAGATGAGAACATTTGGCTATAAAACCTTCCCTTATTTTGGACCAGCCCCCCAACCCAGTAAATTTCAAACTGTCCCTTACACCATACAGACACATTAAACAAACATACATCAACAACTGTACCTCAGATTCAGGACACATATGCTTGCAGAGTTAATAGTTGAGGGTAGTAGTTGGTACCTCTGTTGGCGTTCCTGGCGTGCAATCTCCTTCAGCTTACTGGCCTGCTCACACCTCCTGCGCCTGCGGTCACCCTTCTCTGCTGCCTCCACCTTCAGCTGCTCTCTCCTGTAGCTGCGCTGGTATGCAGTGATCAGACGCCGGAGCCGCGCGGTGAGTGATGAGCTAGTGGGCCACTCACAGGCTCCAGACTGGCCAGAGGGCGGGCCCTTGATTTTAACAGGCCCTGCCTTGTCCTCGACACAGATATCATCATCATCCATGTTCATGGGGTCAGCCTGGGGGAGAGGGATTATCATTAATATCAACAATATTCTGCAACCAAAATCAATCACTGAGAATAATAAGCACTGATTCACACCTCCTCGTATAGGTCTTTGGTGTGCCTTAACGCAGGCTTGAACTCTGGGTCTTCAGAATACTTGTCATCGTCTCCTCTGGGGGGGGGGGGAAACAGCAACCAAGTTCAAGTTAATGGTGGTGATGCCAGCTCTAAATAATTCAGTAATATAGAGTTAGCTTGTTGTTTGGTGAGGTGCTAATAAGGTTAGCCAGTGTAGCTCACCCGTCTCCCAGCTCTGCGTCTGCAGAGTGCTGTTCAGCATCAATGGCCTGGTCATCAGGGCGACCAGCTCTCTCCAGGAAACAGAGATGGGCGTCGGCACGCATGGTGGTGTACATCTCATACCCTGGAGCAACACACTAGAGTTAATACAAACACACTCACTAAACACCTAGCACCACATTCCTACTAATAAACAAGATATTATTGACAAGTAAACAAACTCTTAAATACTTTTTCACATTCACAAACACACCGTGTTTGAAGACTCCGACGAGGAGGGAGCGGTCTGCCTCTGTATCCCACCAGCCTGATGGCACCTCAAGCTGCTCCATCTCAGGCATCCAGATGTCAATATCCCTACGAGGCCACAGACAGACTCAGTATATACGTGTAGACGTGTGTGTGTGTAGACATGTGTGCGCGTATACACTACCAGTCAAAAGTTTGGACACACCTACTCATTCAAGGGTTTTTCTTTATTTTTACTATTTTTTACATTGTAGAATAATAGTGAAGACATCAAAACTATGAAATAACACATATGGAATCATGTAGTAACCAAAAAAAGTGTTAAACAAATCAAAATTCTTCAAATAGCCATTCCCTCAACCAGCTTCATGAGGTAGTCACCTGGAATGCATTTCAATTAACAGGTGTGCCTTCTTAAAAGTTAATTTGTGCAATTTCTTTCCTTCTTAATGCATTTGAGCCAATCAGTTGTGTTGTGACAAGGTAGGGAGGGTATACAGAAGATAGCCCTATTTGGTAAAAGACCCAAGTCCATATTATGGCAAGAACAGCTCAAATAAGCAAAGAGAAACGACAGTCCATCATTATTAAGACACGAAGGTCAGTCAACATGGAACATTTCAAGAACTTTGAAAGTTTCTTCAAGTGCAGTCGCAAAAACCATCAAGCGCTATGATGAAACTGGCTCTCATGAGGACCACCACAGGAATAGAAGACCCAGAGTTACCTCTGCTGCAGAGGATAAGTTCATTAGAGTTACCAGCCTCAGAAATTGCAGCCCAAATAAATGCTTCACAGAGTTCAAGTCACAGACACATCTCAACATCAACTGTTCAGAGGAGACTGTGTGAATCAGGCCTTCATGGTTGAATTGCTGCAAAGAAACCACTACTAAAGGACACCAATAAGAAGAGACTTGCTTGGGCCAAGAAACACGAGCAATGGACATTAGACCTGTGGAAATGTGTCCTTTGGTCTGGAGTCCAAATTGGAGATTTTGGGTTCTAACCGCCGTGTCTTTGTGAGACGCGGTGTGGGTGAACGGATGATCTCTGCATGTGTAGTTCCCATCGTAAAGCATGGAGGAGGAGGTGTCATGGTGTGGGGGTGCTTTTCTGGTGATACTGTCTGATCTATTTAGAATTCAAGCCACACTTAACCATCATGGCTACCACAGCATTCTGCAGCGATACACCATCCCATCTGGTTTGGGCATAGTGGGACTATCATTTGTTTTTCAACAGGACAATGACCCAACACACCTCCAGGCTGTGTAAGGGCTATTTTACCAAGAAAGAGAGTGATGAGTGCTGCATCAGATGACCTGGCCTCCACAATCCCCCAACCTCAACCCAATTGAGATGGTTTGGGATGAGTCGGACGGCAGTGTGAAGGAAAAGCAGCCAACAAGTGCTAAGCATATGTGGGAACTCCATGAAGACTGTTGGAAAAGCATTCCAGGTGAAGCTGGTTGAGAGAATGCCAAGAGTGTGCAAAGCTCTCATCAAGGCAAAGGGTGGCTATTTGAAGAATCTCCAGTATAAAATATATGTTCATTTATTTAACACCTTTTTGGTTACTACATGATTCCATGTGTTATTTCATAGTTTTGATTTCTTCACTATTATTCTACAATGTAGAAAATAGTACAAATAAAGAAAAACCTTTGAATGAGCAGGTGTGTCCAAACTTTTGACTGGTACTGTATAGCAGATAACGAGGATTTTTAATAGGTTGAGACCTGGCATCAGCTCCTCTCAGCACAGAATCAGCATGTTCTCCAATGACTTCCTGTCTCAGGTAGTACAGCATACGCACTCTCAGCAACACCCTGACGACAAAGAAAAGGGTTAATGCTCTAACACTGAGCACAAACACTTCAGTACTCTAGAGGTTGAAGGTGAAAACACACTGACTTGTTGCACTGGTGCTTGAGATGTTTGCGGTAGCTGTCGTCCAGAAGCAGGGAGTCAGGGTTGTACTTGCGGATCCACTCCACCTTCTGAACATCAAAGGAGCTCTGAGCCTTCACCCTCTTCCCCTTCCTGCCCCGAGGAACAGGGATGGACAGACCTAGACAGAGAAACACACTGACACATTTACTCACAACCCTGGAAGGCAACGTTAAAGGGAGAGAAAATACATTAACACAAACATGCAAACAGTTACCCAAAACAGAGCAAGAAATATCTAGACAATGGGTGTTGGAGGTTGTAAGACACAGGAGTGTGAGGGGTTCGGTACGTACCAGAGTGGTTGAGGAGTGTGAGGGGTTCCCGGCCGTTCTCCGGCGGGGTGATGAGCTCCCAGATGAAGCTCTTGATGTTCTCGTCTCCACGGTAATGCAGCAGGCAGAAGACCAGGATGACCCTGCAGATGGTCTCCATATCTCGCTCCCCGAGGCGCCGCTTACAGCGTGCATGAGACAGGATGTCCCTCCAGCGCCCCCACCTGGACAAACACAGGTGGCAGAGTGAGAAAGGAGGGCTCCACACAATTACTTTATTAGAAACTCAGGTCTTAACTTTACTATCATATCAAAAACAAAAAACTTCCAGGACCTAGTCAAGTCCACCTACCCGTAAACAAGCAGGTGTTTCTCCACACGGAAGCAGTCGGTACGGCCGTAGCCGTTTCCGGTGTGGCGCTCGGAGCGCCTAGAGGACCGGGACTGCCGGGAATTGGCGGGCGGGTACTCGTCGTCGCTATCGGGGTCAGAGATCTCCCCACCCTCACCCCTCAGGGTGGCGAACTGACGGGTCTGCTTCCTCACTCTGGGCGTGTCAATCACCAGGGTGTTCTACAGGGAGGTTGTGAGAAAACATAAGGAAAATTAGCTTTTCTCACAAAACACACAAAAAACAAGGACAGAGTAAACACACAGAGTGCACGGGTTCCTGAGACGTCAGCATTACCTTCCTATTCATGGAATCAAAGTCTATGTCTGCCCTCTTGGCCCACTTCTGCCAGAACTCGGGGTCGTCCAGGGCGATGTCGGTTCTATTCTCAGTAGCCACGAAGCTGGCCTTGGAGAAGGTGGAGCCCTTGCCCTCGCTCTCGATGGTGATGGTGGTAGCTCTCCTCTGGAGGATCTGGTCAATGTCCTCCTCACAGAACTTGGAGCCCTCGTCCTCCTCGTCCATAATGGCGGCGTACGCCCCCTTCCTCAGGAGGTCCTCGATCTCCTTCTTGGAGAACTGCTGAATTTGCTGCGAAACAGGTGGAACAGGACAGAGATTAACCAGTTAACATCTAAACAAACAGCAGCCAAAATAAAACTCCATATTTAGTAAACAACAGTTTGAACCTCCTTACTCCATTGACGTTGCTCTCCTTGTTACTGCTCATGCTCTGCAGTACAGCCCGGTCCAGACCCAGTTTGAGGCTGGCCTTGTCCAGCATCTCCCTCTCATAGGAGTTCCTGGTGATCAGACGGTACACCTTCACCGCCTTGGACTGGCCGATACGGTGACACCGCGCCTGAGCCTGTTGGGAGAAGGCAGGGTTAGTACATCAATCGGATGCCATTTGTACAGCGTGGTAAGGGAGCTAGGACGAAACATTGGAAGGAACCAGACACAAAAGAGGGAGCCTGGGGTCAAAGATCAGACTTACCTGCAGGTCGTTCTGAGGGTTCCAGTCGGAGTCAAAGATGACGCAGGTGTCAGCAGCAGTCAGGTTGATGCCCAGGCCTCCAGCCCGGGTACACAGCAGAAAGACGAAACGGTCCGAGTCTGGTTTGCTGAAGCGGTCAATGGCTGCCTGACGCAGGTTCCCTCTCACTCTGCCATCAATACGCTCGTACAGATATCTGGGCAGAACATTGATAAAGACAACTTCTTACTCATCTATATGACTCTTCACATCCAGTCTGTCTACTACCGCAGACTGATAATGTAGTAAAACAAAACTTGCTAACAAAATCTATTGTTTTTCAACATGCCCATACACGTTGTTGATGAGGCAGTCTATCTACACCTCCATACCTCTTGTGGATGAGGTAGTCCTCCAGGATGTCCAGGCAGCGCACCATCTGGGAGAAGATGAGCACCTTGTGTCCCCCAGCCTTCAAGCGAGGCAGCAGTTTGTCCAGCAGGACCAGCTTGCCTGCGGATCTCACCAGTGCCTGCAGGTGAAAGTCTGGGGCCATGGGGTCGTAAACATCCCTCAGCTCAGCCACAATCTTCTCCTCCGCCCCTGGATAGAACAGACAGAAGGGGGGTTACTATCAAATTGTATACCATTGCATCCTGGGAAAGGTATGAAGACAGTGGCGTATACAGATGAACAGTTGGAGTGATGTTAGGTCAACAGAACCTGTGGTAAGCATCAGGTAATAGCAGGCTAGCTGCATTTCGAGGAGATGCTGTTGGGGTTATTGTTTTTGGAGGAGGAAGGGTATTGAAGTGTTGTTGTGGCGTGAGGTACCGGTAATAAGGTAGGGGTGGTTGCAGCACTTGCGTAGCTCCATCATGGTGTTGAGCAGATTGGGCACGTTGCTGTTGCTGGTGGCTCCCATGCTGAGGAAACTGAAGTTCCTCTCTAGGATGGCCCGGTAGTATTTCTTCTGCACATCGGTCAGCTCCACCTGTGTAGATAAGGTTGTATTTAGCTTGATGGTTATGGTCCATTATGAAAAACATCATTGTGCTACTCATATACAAGGTCACCTTGGTTATAGGGTGCAATATTATGCATTTTGAGTTGTGTAAAAACTTACCTCAATAATAGTCTCCTGTTTTGGCGCCAAGTTCTTCTCCACATCCTCTTTGAGTCTGCGCAGCATCATAGGCTTCAGAATGGCCTGGAGCTTCTGGACCTGCTCCTCTGTCTTGAGGTCTCCAAAGTCACGAAGGAACTCAGACTCTGATGAAAACTGAGCTGGCTCCAGGAAGTGCAGCAGACTGAAGAGTTCCTCCACTGTGTTCTGGAGGGGGGTGCCAGTCAGAAGCACCTTATGCTCCTGAGAACCAGGGAGGACAGGGGAGTGGAATAGAAAGACAAGGAGGAGATGAACAGAGAGAAAAAGAGGAAGAGGGTGTTATTAGGCATCTTTCTAAACATAAGACCAACAAGTTGTCACATCACAAGTAATACATTTGTCCCCCTGTCCCTTAGACTATCTATCCCCTGATTACTCACCAGGTCCAGCATCTTGAGGCTGTCCAGCAGCTTGCAGTTGCGGTTCTTGAGGCGGTGAGCCTCGTCAATGATAACACAGCGCCAGGAGATCTCCCTCAGCTCAGGGCAGTCGGACAGAATCATCTCAAATGTGGTGATCAAGGCATCAAACTTATACGCCCCTGGGATCAGGTGATCCTGTAATACAACACTCTAGTTAGAGGAACTAGACGTCGATGTACCAAGAACCATATTATCTGAACATGAGAGAATCAATGTCTTCCGACCGTTCCTACTGCACAACAACACTAGCACTGCAACCACTGTAATCCATTCTTCTGTTCTGAGGTTACACAAACAGAACGTGACACACACACACCTTGTCGTCCTTGCAGTACATCTCGTACTGCTGGATCATCTGCCTGCTAGCCAGGCTTCCGTGGTAGACGATGGCGTTCATGTCGGTCCAGTTGGCAAACTCCCTCTCCCAGTTGGTGATGGTGGAGAGAGGAGCGATGACCAGGAAGGGGCCCTGGACCCCGGCACCAAACACCTCGGACAACAGAGAGATGGACTGGATGGTCTTCCCTAGACCCATCTCATCGGCCAGGATACAGTTCTGCCTGTATGCCGAGAGGATGTGTTAATACGGATATAATGGGATATGAAATGCATTCAAAAACACGTAAAGAAACATCAGTACCTGTTGTACCAGTTGAAGAGCAGCCAGTTGACTCCCTCTAGCTGGTATTCTCGAAGTACGTTCCCACTCTTGTACTCTCTGAATTCCTCCAACTTCTTCCATGCAGCTGATTGGGGCCGGGTCTAATGAGAGGAGTTAATGGTTTAGACCAGGGGTGTCAAACGTACGGCCCGCGGGCCGGATCAGGCCCGGAAACGGGTTTAATCCGGCCCGCGAGATGATTTAAAAAAAAAAAAGTTTGTTTTTTTAAGTATAAAAATGCGCTGCAATCTTTCAATAAAATAAACTGCTGTTCCAATTGCGTCCACTGGATGGCGCAATAGCAATTGTGTTAAGCAAGCAAACTGTTTATACCGGGGCAGAGCAAGTAGGTCAAGCACGTGCTGCCAATGAGCTACTTTGTTTTGCCTGCGATATTTATTACGGCTTCTACTTTTAACATTATGTGCTTTGGCACCCTCATTGCCCCAATATGTCTCTGTCAAAAAAGAGAAAAGTGGACGCAGAGTGCAGAGTGTTCCAAGAAAAATTGTCATCCTATTTATTCACGGAATTGAATGGGAAAGCTGTATGTTTGGTGTGTTCAGAGCATGTTGCAGTGCTGAAAGAATATAACCTTCGTCGCCACTATGTGAGTCTTCATGCCGACAAATATGACAACTTTCAAGGACAGCGGAGATGAGAGAAGGTGAATGAACTGTTGGCGGGTCTGAAGAAACAGCAGTCTGTGTTTACTCACAGCCGAGACATCAGTGACGCTGCAGTGAAAGCTAGCTACCTCATTGCTAATGAAATCGAAGTGGCTTCAAAACCATTTAGTGAGGGTGAATTTGTAAAAACATGCATGATGAAGGCAGCGGAGATTGTGTGCCCTGAAAAGCGGCAGGCTTTTGCAAATATCAGCTTGACAAGAAACACAGTTGCAGACAGGATTTCCGATCTTTCAGTGGATTTGGACAGCCAGTTGAAGCAAAAAGTAAAGTCATTTATTCCGTTTTCGGTTGCAATTGATGAAAGCACGGACATTACAGATGTTGCACAACTGGCCATTTTCATCCGCGGAGTTGATGACACATTGACCGTCACCGAGGAGTTTGTGGAGTTGGTGCCGATGACAGATACAACGACAGCAGCTGATATTTTTACCGCACTCGTCGGCGCGCTGGACAGGGTCGGAGTGGACTGGTCCCGCGCTGTCAGCCTGGCTACAGATGGTGCGCCCTCAATGATCGGGAAAAAAGCAGGCGTTGTGACAAAGTTCAGAGAGAAAGTGCAATCTGCAAATGGAGGACGTGATTTTTTGACATTTTACTGTATTTTGCACCAGGAGGCTTTGTGTTGCAAGTCATTAAAGATGGATAACGTCATGAAGGTGGTCATCCAAACTGTTAATTTCATCCGATCCAGAAGCCTGAATCACTGTCAGTTTGACAGCCTTCTCAGAGAGAAAGACCACATTTATGGCCTGCCATACCACACTGAGGTAAGATGGTTAAGCCGAGGTGCTGTGCTGAGGCGTTTCTTTGATTTACGAGAAGAAATTGAACAGTTCATGGAAGAAAAGGGCAAACCAGTGTTAGAATTTCATTCCGCAGAATGGATGCAGGACCTTGCATTTATGGTGGATGTTACAGAGCATCTGAATAACTTGAACAAACAGCTGCAAGGGCGCAACAAAGTTGTCACGCAGTATTATGACAGCATACGTTCTTTCAAGTTGAAGCTGTCATTGTGGGAGACGCAACTTGCCGGTGGTGATGCAGCTCACTTCCCCTGTCTGAAAAATTTGTGCGTGACCCAACATGTGGCAGACATGAAGCGGTTCAAAGATAAAATAACGGGACTGTTACGGGAGTTTGAGCAACGCTTTCAGATTTATGTTTATATGTTTTTATGTTGATGTGCTATTGTTTTTAATTGATTTTATTTGTATATTTAACCTATTCTTGACTCTGTGGTTCTTGCACTTGTTTGGGGAACAGGATTTCAATATTTTTATCTACATTTCTGCCTGAGAAATGACACCCTGATATAGTTCTGTGATCTGTGATATACTTCTGTGAATCACTGAGGCATTGTGTGTTCTTTGTCCTCAGAACTTTTAAATAACTTGGTGTTTTATGATTAATAGTGATGTTGTGCTTTTGGACACTGTCCTCAGGCTCCAGCTTTATGTTTATATGTTTTTATGTTGATGTGCTATTGTTTTTAATTGATTTTATTTTATTTGTATATTTAACCTATTCTTGACTCTGTGGTTCTTGCACTTGTTTGGGGAACAGGATTTCATTATTTTTATCTACATTTCTGCCTGAGAAATGACACCCTGATATAGTTCTGTGATCTGTGAAACAGTTCTGTTAATCACTGAGGCATTGTGTGTTTGTGTGTTCTTTTTCTTTAGAATTTTCAAATAAACTTGACGTGTTTTATGATTAATAGTGATGTTGTGCTTGTACTATTTTGGACACACTGTCCTCAGGCTCCAGCTTTATGTTGTATGTTGATCGTATTAAAACGAAGAAAACAATCTGAAGTTGTTGTTTTTAAGTTATATATATACATCATGATTTTTCCGGTCCGGCCCACTTGGGAATAGATTTTCCTCCATGTGGCCCCTGAGCTAAAATGAGTTTGACACCCCTGGTTTAGACTGAGGAATGATAACATATTGGACTAAAGCAGTGGCACTACTCACATGGAACGTGGTGAACACGACCAGTGAATACACACGACCAGTGAATACCCACACAGAGCATGACACTCACCGTTCTCTTGAGCTGAGGTTGGCGGTCCTGGATCTTCCTGAACTCCTCCACCTTGCCCTCGTCCACATCCTCTCTTAGCTCCCAGGTAGCGTCTTCATAGGGCAGAGAGCACCACTTCACCAGGTAATACACCACCGGCTGGGAGATACAATACACCGTTAGAGACAAATAATCCTAACTCAGAATTTTCACAACGAGATCAATTCATGGTTTACAAGAACAGATTTCAAGATTTGTCCTGTAGAGATCAGAATTCAGTCATTGATTTCTCTCACCTCTCCATTGTCCTTGTCCACACTGTTGGACTCATCCAGGATCCGGTCCACCTCCACATAGTCTGGGTTGAAGGGCTCCTCCTCCTAAGGACAGGAGCACAGAGAGGATAACACACACAAAAACACACCGACTATGATCCCTGTAGTTACATCCTCTATACACATACCCATCTACTTGACAACCAGAGGGCTACCAACATTTTTCTGTGAAAGAGGCCATATTATTCCCTTACCTCCTGTAAGAGGTGTCTCATCTGTGCATGTTTGGTCTTAAATCTCTTGAGCTTCTGATGGATCCTCTTGTCTCTCTCCAGCTGCTCCAGAGTGGCCCACTCACAGTGCATGTAGGAGCTGAGAGAAGGAACAGGAGGGTCAGGGGTCAGCTATGGATAAAGGAAGACACTCCTGTGCACTGTTGATCTTGGATGCTCCACAAACAATTTAATGGATCTCACACCAACATTTTAGTCAATAGACCTTCATCAGGGATTAGCAAACCCAAGTGTAATGAACATAAGGAGAGTGAGACTTACTAGTTCTTATATTTGACAAAAAATTCCTCAGCATTGATGTAATGTCCTGGAGACACCTTTCAGATATGAACAGAGGAACAACCATGATACATGATTTGCAACTTCTAAAATTAGCAAAATCCATAAATACTAAACGATCAACAGAAAACAAACAGCACAGTAAGCACACACCTCCTTCTTAGTTAACCTCATCGACAAAACTTTGTCCACAATTGCTGCATCTTCCTCGTTGGGGTTTTCCTGTGATACATATACATGTTATACAGCTGTCATGTGCAGGTGATAAGATAACCAACACTCACTCAACAGAACTGCTCAAACTTGATCAAAATCTCCCACTCACCACAAAGAACTGCATGCTGGAAAGGCTGTCCCCGTCCAACTGCAGCTCCTGTTTGAGCTGCTCTCCCATTAGCTGCCCTGTTGCTCCTCCGGTAATGGACGCCACCGCCGCCGTCGTGGTGGTTACGTCCACGTCCTCCTCCGGTTCGTCCTCGTCGTCAGTGATTTTGATGTCCAGATCCTCAGTGTACTTCTTCCTCTTCACCTGACGGTTAGAACGCCTCTTCTGGTGGAAGAGGGAGATGACATTAAAAAAGTCAGACATCGGTCAGGAAGTCTTGACAAACATCCAGTGCAGTACTGTACGTATTATGTTCATAAATGTCAAATCAGGGACGTGTGTTTATTGACGTGGTATTTGTAAAGTGGTGACAGAAAAATAGATCCTACTGTACTCTAGTGTAGTCGTGTGTGTGTGTAAGTGTGTGTCAGTAGGAGGGACGTGACTCACCGCAAGCATGTCCTCATCCAGGGACTTAGAGGGAGAGGCGGGGCTCAACTCCCCATCAGAGTGGTCTGAGGAGGAATTCCTCTTCCTCTTCTTACCCCCCACTAGAGTGATCGTACTGGGGCGACAGAGACAGACCGGGGAGGATGAGAACAATAATTAGTTTGAGAAATAGATACAACACCCCAAAAAAACAGAATGAGAACATCGCAACTTACTTGATCTTTGCCTTGCTTTTGCTCTTGCCCCCTCCAGGTGTCCCTCCAGCAGCCCCTCCAGGTGTCCCTCCAGCAGCCCCTCCAGGTGTCCCACCTCCAGCCCCACCTGCTGCCTTGGCCTTGCCCTTCTTCTCCGCACCAGCCCCGCCCTTCCCCCCTGCCCCTGCTGCCGCTGGGCTCTTCTTCTTACTCCCTCCTCCTTTCTTCTTGGCTCCAGGTGTGCCAGTGATCGTTGCAGCGGCCCCTTGGTCAGCGGCCTTCTGTCCGGCAGGCAGTTCGTCCTGGTTGAGGACTCGTGGAATGTTCCTCTCTCCCCGGGCCTTGGCCCTAGCAATGGCCTCGGCCACGATACGGTTGGCCTTCTCCTGCTTGCACAGGGTCTCCAAGCGCCGTACAGGCTCCTGGGCCTTGACTAGACGTATTCCTGGTGACGCCATAGTAGTGGTGGTGGTGGAAGGGGCGGAGCCGGCAGCAGAGGTGTTGATTACCTTCACTACGGAGACTGCTCTGCCTGCCGTCGAGGTGGCACTTGTCTGTGGATATAAATACAAGAGTTAAGAGTTGTTAAGAGGCAAATTAACCTACATGTGTAAGGTTTGACAAGTGAGATTTGCAACTCAGGACTTTTTGACATGATACATCTATTGTGTGTATATATACACTGTTCAAAAAAATAAAGGGAACACTTAAACAACACATCCTAGATCTGAATGAATGAAAGAATCTAATTAAATACTTTTTTCTTTACATAGTTGAATGTGCTGACAACAAAATCACACAAAAATTATCAATGGAAATCAAATGTATCAACCCATGGAGGTCTGGATTTGGAGTCACCCTCAAAATTAAAGTGGAAAACCACACTACAGGCTGATCCAACTTTGATATAATGTCCTTAAAACAAGTCAAAATGAGGCTCAGTAGTGTGTGGCCTCCACGTGCCTGTATGACCTCCCTACAACGCCTGGGCATGCTCCTGATGAGGTGGCGGATGGTCTCCTGAGGGATCTCCTCCCAGACCTGGACTAAAGCATCCGCCAACTCCTGGACAGTCTGTGGTGCAATGTGGCGTTGGTGGATGGAGCGAGACATGATGTCCCAGATGTGCTCAATTGGATTCAGGTCTGGGGAACGGGCGGGCCAGTCCATAGAATCAATGCCTTCCTCTTGCAGAAACTGCTGACACACTCCAGCCACATGAGGTCTAGCATTGTCTTGCATTAGGAGGAACCCAGGGCCAACCGCACCAGCATATGGTCTCACAAGGGGTCTGAGGATCTTATCTCGGTACCTAATGGCAGTCAGGCTACCTCTGGCGAGCACGTGGAGGGCTGTGCGGCCCCCCAAAGAAATGCCACCCCACACCATGACTGACCCACCACCAAACCGGTCATGCTGGAGGATGTTGCAGGCAGCAGAACGTTCTCCACGGCGTCTCCAGACTCTGTCACGTCTGTCACATGTGCTCAGTGTGAACCTGCTTTCATCTGTGAAGAGCACAAGGCGCCAGTGGCGAATTTGTCAATCTTGGTGTTCTCTGGCAAATGCCAAACGTCCTGCACGGTGTTGGGCTGTAAGCACAACCCCCACTTGTGTACGTCGGGCCCTCATACCACCCTCATGGAGTCTGTTTCTGACCGTTTGAGCAGACAGATGCACATTTGTGGCCTGCTGGAGGTCATTTTGCAGGGCTCTGGCAGTGCTCCTCCTGCTCCTCCTTGCACAAAGGCGGAGGTAGCGGTCCTGCTGCTGGGTTGTTTCCCTCCTACGGCCTCCTCCACGTCTCCTGATGTACTGGCCTGTCTCCTGGTAGGGCCTCCATGCTCTGGACACTACGCTGACAGACACAGCAAACCTTCTTGCCACAGCTCGCATTGATGTGCCATCCTGGATGAGCTGCACTACCTGAGCCACTTGTGTGGGTTGTAGACTCCGTCTCATGCTACCACTAGAGTGAAAGCACCGCCAGCATTCAAAAGTGACCAAAACATCAGCCAGGAAGCATAGGAACTGAGAAGTGGTCTGTGGTCACCACCTGCAGAACCAATCCTTTATTGGGGGTGTCTTGCTAATTGCCTATAATTTCCACCTGTTGTCTATTTCATTTGCACAACAGCATGTGACATTTATTGTCAATCAGTGTTGCTTCCTAAGTGGACAGTTTGATTTCACAGAAGTGTGATTGACTTGGAGTTACATTGTGTTGTTTTAAGTGTTCCCTTTATTTTTTTGAGCAGTGTATATATATATATATACCTGTGGTTGCAGCAGCAGTTTGAGGGGCACGGCTAGTCTCTGTCCACCTTGGCCCTGGGAGATCTGAACAACCTGTGGGCTGCTACCTTGCCCTCCGGACACCAGCTGAAACTGCAGGACAGAGACCGTTCTAGTTACTAATCAAAGTCTTCATAGAACAGGTCAGTATTTCTGATTAGTTAACTGAGAGCGGAGAATTTTGTAACGACTAATTCAAGCCACTCCTCCTCCTTACCTTGGGTCCCCCCTGTTGGTTGGGTTGCTGCTGCACCTGTAGCTGGATGGTGAGTACTTTAGGCTGTGCCCCCGTCTGCCCTGCCCTGGCCTGGGTGAGAGCAGCCAGCTGACCCCCCTGGAGGACCAGCTTCCCTGGGAGGTTACCCAACACCAGCCTCTGGCCCTGCTGCAGCTGACCCGACCCACCGACTGTCACAGCACCCCCCTGGGCCGTTCCACCCTGAGGCTGCTGCAGCACCAGAGTGATCCTCTTAGCTTCACCCTGAGAGAAGAGAGAAATGATCAACAAGAAATTAGAAAATGCTGATTGAGTTACAAATGTACAACCTTGAGACCTGAGGTGAAGAGCCCTGGTTGTTGGAGGTCATTGTATTCCTGACTACTGAAAACATAGCATTTGATGATCCTGATGGTTAGGCCAAGTTGAGCTCAGAGGGCAGTCTTACCTGCTGTGGTACTGTAGTGAGGGTGACCCCTTGTGGTCGGACTGTAGTGGTGCCTGTAGCAGCGGCGGTGACCTGTGTCTGCATGGCAGACTGCAGCTGCACCTGTGTCTGGGGCTGTAGCTGGATTTGCGTCGCCTGTCCTTGGGTCTGGAGCTGCACTTGAGCCTGGGCTTGGGCAAGCTGGGCCTGTGGTATCTGCACCTGGACTGTCTGCGTCTGGCCCTGGGACTGGCCCTGAGGAATGGAGATCAACTGTACCTGCTTCAGGGGTCCGTTGGGCGACTGAACCAGCCTCTGTACCCCAGTTCCCACCTTCACCTGTCCCTGCCCAGGAGACGCTTGGTTCATGACCGTTCCTCCAGACAGTATCTGCATGCCGGGCCTGAGTTGGGTTCCAGACAGTACCCTGGCAAAGGTGACCTTCCCCGCTTGGGAGCCAGTCCCAGCAACAGTCTGCAGCACCTGTGCTTGCCCCCCCGGTCCTTTCAGGATGACGATCTTGGCGCCTCCCTGGCCTCCGGCCTGCTGGGTGATGGCAGCTAGCTGCTGAGGAGTCAGCTGCTGTGCGATCTGTGTGAGCTGCTGTGTGGTGAATTGTTGTGTGTTGATGTGTTGCGTGGTGATCTGTTGTGTAGTGCCAGTAGAGCTATTGACAGTCAGAGGTGAGCCCAGCATGACTGTGGCAGCCCCACTGGTGTTACTGGCTACAGAGAGTGTTGTCCGAGGTACTGTTGTAGCTATTGAAACAGTCTGAGGGAGGGCGACCGGGACTGGGGCCGGCTGCTGCACAGGTACTGGGTCTGGGATGGTTGGAGCTGCCACTGGTATGCTGAGCGCTGGGGTGGAGAGGTCTGGGGTGGGTTTGGAGGGGGGGTCCACCTGCCCCAGAGCCAGTTTCAGAGCCTCCTCCACGGGGTCTGTGAAGGCATCGTCTGGCAGGGCATCCAGGTTGAACAGTGGCGTGTCATCAAAGAGATCCATGATGGGGTCTGCCATTTTGCCCAGTCCACAGAAGATATATAGAACAAAACAGCCTTGCTCTCAGTCAGAAAGATAAGGAATCCGTAGATCTGACCAGTATGTGTCCTAAAAAAACTATTGGAAAAACAAAATAAAAAGCTCACAAATATCCTTCTGTGATTAGATAACCAAAACAAATATATCATTCAAAACATCAATCACTTACTAAAATGGATTCTGAGGTTTCAGTCCTGTGCAGACAATTGACTTGGGCTATGTCTGTGTATCCTCTAATGACAAATATTGGGGTGGTGGTGTAGATGGTGGGGAAAAATTAATTTTTAAGCTAGATACCAGAGAAAGAGGTTCAGGGAAGAGGAGAGTCACACTATTTCTCCACTGCTTCCTCACCCCTTTCCTCTTCCTTGTTTTCAGTGCCTACTTCTCTCCTCTGTGTGCAATGATCCCCATCTGAGAGATCATTCGCTGATGTCTCTTTCCTAAAGAAGACAGAGAGAAGATAATGGTTTAGCTTAACCAGGAAAAATCACTATTCCAATATACTTACTGAAAGTAGCAGACAAAGTGTGCCATGACACTCACTGCTCTTGGTGGGAAGAAATTGTCAGTTGTCATGTGGTACCTAGTTGGCTAGTAACCTAAGATAGTTCGTAAGATAGTTAGGTAGTTCGTAAGCTAACTTGCGTATCGGGGCCCTGTTGCTTTAGTATTTTCATGATTTTGGTGAAAATAGTATAACAAACGCTTTGTTTCAATAATACAAAAACAATAGATGCCTTCAGGGGTTCTGAAAAGCCATCTATATCGTCATTCCCGTATTGTTTACTGTTTCCCGGAATCATAAGTTGATCCATCGATGCTAGCTAGCTATAACAACAAACACTAACTAGTGGTTTCTGGTTTTCCTTCAATCCAATCCTTCAATGCCTTCATTGTGATCATAGACTATTCTACGAACAGTGTTTGTATGGAAAGTAATAGTTTAAAATGGCAAGTGGGTGAAAACCATCCGTCTAGGTCCAGGATAACATAGTTTCTTTCTGACGGTGTTGCTCTCCGCAAACCCGCTACAGAGATAACGTTAGCATTGAATTGCTATTTGCATTTGATAAGGCTGTTTTGGGATGAAAATCTATTTCAAATAGTATATAAAAACTGTAATATATAATAGATCAGTCAATAGGTAGCAGCAGCTCCATAATTTACTGCATAACGTTCCCATCCACTCTTTCAATCTCATCAACAAACCGGACCAAACCAAAGGCAACGTGCCACAATAACCATAGTCTGTCTACGATCAGACATGGGTAAGGCCGCAATGTTATTTGGGTTGGACTACGTCTGTTTATCAGAAAAAAGACCCCCTAATAACCATACTAACCACTGCCCCGACTCTCTGTTATAATTTAGGGGTGCTAAATGTACCTTTGCATCGACACACATGGCTTTCTCCGTCTCACAACACTGTACGATTACAGGAAACGGCCAGCAAAGAGCAGGAACTAACATTCTTGCCAGCGAAAATGTTGAAAGGATGCACATCGAATCACATCTGCTTGATTATCATTGGTCTGAATTTACACAAACCGGCAGGATTCTAACGCACCCTTGGCTGAATTGGGCTGTCCATCATCTAACGAACGGAATACTGGGCGGGAGACAGTAATGGACATAGTTAGGTTGAGAAAACAATAAATGCGGCCTAGTTGGGACAATTTGGCTCAGAGGTCCTACACGTTGGATTTTGCTGTCAAACATCCAATCAAACGTGTAATCACCAGTTTACTGCATGTTTAACTTGAATAAGAAGTAAAGATATGTCCTATTTCCTACATAATTTCTCTATTAATGGGGAATGTTTTGCTAACCATCCAGGCCAAAATACAATGTGACCTCTTACATTTTCAGCCTCTACAAAAGGTGACCATGTTGATTAAATTTTATAACCCTTTACTCAAAATTGTAGCTGTACCCAGACCAGAGATGCAATGCTTATTTTAACATTTTCTTAATTATATTATGTCTGTACACTAAATCAAAACTGAAATGCACCTTGAGGCTTATGTTATGATGGTCTCTATAAGGTGCATCCATCAAATATAATATTATTATTAGCACTGCATTCAATATGACACCTCACCTCAATTCTTTCAAATGCCCAGTTGTCCATTAACTGCCACCTGAGGAGATGCTGTCCATACCAAAAGAAGACTGGTAGGCCCTCATCTCACCTTAGCCCCATTATGCTCCAAGTAGATGATTTTCTGTCTGGTGCTCTTTATTTAAGTTGACACTGTTTATTGTCTTGTGTCTTTATTTTACTGGTACACACAAACTGAACTGGTACATTATACTAAAAATGGCCTGCAAAATTAAAGATAGGTTGCCAACAGTTACTGTATTTTAGCAGCCCTAGTATCCAGTAACGGATTTTCTGTGTTCCTACATGGCTTTGGAGACCTCCAAACAGAGGAACAGGTTCATGCTCACCGTATATACACACTACATTCAACAACTCAACATTGCCGCCTAGAGGTGATAGTGTGTGTAAACCTTGAGTGTGAACCTGTTCCTCTGTTTGTAATCCTCTAAACAGGATTTCTGGAAAACCTGTGAATTTTGGGAAAGTTACTGGATTTTTGCCAACCTACTGGATACAAATTACATTACATATTTTAAAATATGAACTTTAACCTCATGTTTAATAAAAGCACAAATAAACACATTACGTTTTATTTGATCAATGTACTCATGTAAAAAGTAGGCAAGTAGCCTTGTGTAAATTTTTTAAAAGTAAAGTAGTAAAGAAAAGTAGATTGTCACGTTTAACAACTAGTAAAGAACACTCAATGTTCTGACAAGTATACAGTGGCTTGCGAAAGTATTCATCCCCCTTGGCATTTTTCCTATTTTGTTGCCTTACAACCTGGAATTAAAATAAATTTTTTGTGGGTTTGTATCATTTGATTTACACAACATGCCTACCACTTTGAAGATGCAAAATAATTTTTCTTGTGAAACAAACAACAAATAAGAAAAAAAATAAAGAAAACTTGAGCGTGCATAACTATTCACCCCCCCAAAGTCAATACTTTGTAGAGCCACCTTTGGCAGCAATTACAGCTGCAAGTCTCTTGGGGTATGTCTCTGTAAGCTTGGCACATCTAGCCACTGGGATTTTTGCCCATTCTTCAAGGCAAAACTGCTCCAGCTCCTTCAAGTTGGATAGGTTCCGCTGGTGTACTGCAATCTTTAAGTCATACCACAGATTCTCAATTGGATTGAGGTCTGGGCTTTGACTAGGCCATTCCAAGACATTTACATGTTTCCCCTTAAATCACTCGAGTGTTGCTTTAGCAGTATGCTTAGGGTCATTGTCCTGCTGGAAGGTGAATCTCCGTCCCAGTCTCAAATCTCTGGAAGACTGAAACAGGTTTCCCTCAAGAATTTCACTGTATTTAGCACCATCCATCATTCCTTCAATTCTGACCAGTTTCCCAGTCCCTGCCGATGAAAAACATCCCCACAGCATGATGCTGCCACCACCATGCTTCACTGTGGGGATGGTGTTCTCGGGGTGATGAGAGGTGTTGGGTTTGCGCCAGACATAGCGTTTTCCTTGATGGCCAAAAAGCTCAATTTTAGTCTCATCTGACCAGAGTACCCTCTTCCATATGTTTGGGGAGTCTCCCACATGCCTTTTGGCGAACACCAAACGTGTTTGCTTATTTTTTTCTTTAAACAATGGCTTTTTTCTGGCCACTCTTCCGTAAAGCCCAGCTCTGTGGAGTGTACGACTTAAAGTGGTCCCATGGACAGATACTCCAATCGCCGCTGTGGAGCTTTGCAGCTCCTTCAGGGTTATATTAGGTCTCTTTGTTGCCTCTCTGATTAATGCCCTCCTTGCCTGGTCCGTGAGTTTTGGTGGGCGGCCCTCTCTTGGCAGGTTTGTTGTGGTGCCATATTCTTTCCATTTTTAATAATGGATTTAATGGTGCTCAAAGTTTCTGATATTTTTTTATAACCCAACCCTGATCTGTACTTCTCCACAACTTTGTCCCTGACCTGTTTGGAGAGCTCCTTGGTCTTCATGGTGCCGCTTGCTTGGTGGTGCCCCTTGCTTAGTGGTGTTGCAGACTCTGGGGCCTTTCAGAACAGGTGTATATCTACTGAGATCATGTGACACTTAGATTGCACACAGGTGGACTTTATTTAACTAATTATGTGACTTCTGAATGTAATTGGTTGCACCAGATCTTATTTAGGGGCTTCATAGCAAAGGGGGTGAATACATATGCACGCACCACTTGAGTATGTCCATTACATGAAATCCAAATAAAAATCCATTTAAATTACAGGTTGTAATGCAACAAAATAGGAAAAACTCCAAGGGGGATGAACACTTTTGCAAGGCACTGTAGTAAAGTAAAATTTCGCATTTAACAACTAGTAGACTATGTTTACATTTAACAACTAGTACATAACTCAATATTCTGAATATATACATATATATATACACACTGAACAAAAATATAAACGCAACATGCAACAATTTCAAAGATTTTACTGAGTTACAGTTCATAGAAGTAAATCAGTCAATTGAAATCAATTCATTAGGCCCTAATCTATGGATTTCACATTAATGGGCAGGGGCGCAGCCATGAACATTAAATTATCTGGTAACAGCTCTGTTGGACATTCCTGCAGTCAGCATGCCAATTGCACGCTCCCTCAAATCTAGCTTAATCTGTGGCATTGTGTTGTGTGACAAAACTGCCCATTTTAGAGTGGCCTTTTATTGTCCCCAGCACAAGGTGCACCTGTGTAATGATCATGCTGTTTAATCAGCTTCTTTATATGCCACATCTGTCAGGTGGCTGGATTATCTTGGCAAATGAGAAATGCTCACTAACAGGGATGTAAACAAATCTGTGCACAAAATTTGAGAGGAATAAGCTTTTTGTGTGTATGGAACATTTCTGGGATTTTATTTCACTTTACATGTTGCATTTATA